AATTAGATCCAGTCTTTCAGCCCAGACAGTCTGGCTCCAGAGCCCTGGAACTTAATCACTGTACCCTAAAAGAAGGGTGCTGGCACAGTGTGATGAGTTCATAGACAGAAGAAATTAATTCCCATGCGGTGATTATGGAAGGCTTCCTGGAGAAGGTGCTTTTCATCTGGGTCTAGAAAAATCAGGAATTCTCAGGCAAAGATGGGCATGGGGGAAGAACAAAAGGTCCTGGTGTGTATGTGTGTGTGTGTGTGTGTGTGTGTGTGTGTGTGTAAAAGCTCTCAAACTCTTTCACTACAGCCTCTCCTACCTTTTCTCTCCCATCTAGTTGGATGATAAGTAAGATATATCGAGGCACTGAATAGTCAACAAATATTTGCTGAGCACCTCCTGTGTGTCCGCCTGTCACAGAGGATACCAGAATGAGTAAAGCAGCAGATACAACCCCTGCCTTCATGGACCCTGTAGTCTGGTACACAGTAGGTGCTTAGTAAATGGTAGCCTCGATTATTATCATTATTCCTAGAGGCCTTGGATTCCTCCTCATTCATTCTTTCAGCAAGCATTTATCGAGCACCTACTATATGCCCAGATCTGTCCTTGGAGCTGGGGAAACAGTGATGAACATGAGAGAAAGCCTGTCCCTCCTGCAGCTGACATTCTAGGGGAGAGGACTGGGCAGGAATGTTGCCCACTTCAGAGGTTGGCTGCCTTCTCAAGCACACACACTTTACCCTGCGAACTCCTTGGGTAGTTGCATAGGCTGTGCCCACGGGGTCCAGCAAAGCCCCAGGACTCTGGTGGAGCATCATTAATCCCGAGCTCTAATCAGCTGACATGCCTGCCACAGGCCTGGGCAGACGGTCAGTGACATGCCTGAGCTTATCCCTCTCCCAGGACACCCCTGGGATTGGCCCAGGAGGCCTGACTTTCCTTGCTCCTGGCTCACCCTGCCTCCCAGGTCTTCTGATGTCATCTGTCTGCCCTTGTCTCTCTCACCCCCTGGGACCCAGGATGTCTCCGCTGTCCAAGGATAGGTCGTGGAACTCAGCCCTGTCAAAAGGCTGACTAGGGCTGCAATATTTTCTTTCCCTAAATGTTAATATGCTGATGCTAAGGGGACTTGAAACCATGTGTGTCATCAGAGGAAGGGTTAGAAGGGCCAGGGCTGCTTTGCCTGGAGAAGACTGGAAGGGGACATGAGAGCTGTCAGCAAGGATTTGGAGGTCTGTCATGTGGCAGAGGGAGCTTGTTCCAGGCAGTCGGGAGGGCAAGCTTAGGCCACAGCCGAAGGTTTGAGGGAGACAGATTCAGTTCAGCATGAGGCCCAGTCCAGCAGCACTCCCTAACCGTGCCCGTCTGTGGAGGGCCTGCAGCAGCAGCTTCCTGTCCCCGACAGGGCTGCCCAGAGGGCTTGTGCATTAATGGGGCCTGACTCCATGACTTTTGAGGTTCCTTTCCTCCCAAAACATAGTGACTTCATGTTCTGGGAATGGCTTCACTCTAGCTGGCAGGTGAGGACATGCTTGCACCCCTTGATGGCAACATTGCTTGCTGGTCAAGGACATCATGTCACTTTTGTTCACAGCATCAGTGCAATTATAATGCCAAGCCTTTGTTTCACCCTGGCTTCAAGGGCTGTCTGAGGGATGCTGTGGGGCTGGTGCAAGGGTGGGGTTCTTGACTGGGAGGGGTCAGCTGCCTGGAAGATGACAGCATCCACCCTTACTGTAGGGGATCCTACGGTCACCAATCCTGGGGGAGGGAGGAGTCAACTTTCCTTAGCAACACATCCTTTTCTTTAAATGGAACTTTCTGCAAAAGCCCAGGATGTGAAATCAGGAAATGAGGCTGCTTTGGTTGAAGAGGGCTTGGCTTGATGGCCCACAGCCTCATCTACTCAGCACCCATCTCCATAGCCCTTGAGAAAGTCCTAGGAACCCTACGGTCTCCGAAGAGTATACAGAACAGGGTGCAGACAGAGCCAGATTGCTTGGGTCTGAACCCTCGCTCCACCACCTACTATCCAAATGGGTACTTGGACAAGATACTTGCCTCCTTGGTGCCTCAGTTTCCCCATCTGTAAAACGGGGACAATCATAATGCTTACCTCCATTGTGAGGACTGAGTTCTTACCTTGTATAGTGTCTGGAACCCCTGGCTTCTCATCATAGTGAGGAAGGGTCCAAGAAGTTGAGCGCCTTGCCTATGGCCACACAGCTGGTTAGCAGCTGGAATCGGGCCTCAGCCTACTTCTCCTAGACCGAAAGCCCCATAGTCATTCTGCATGCCCACGAATGCTGACTGCTTCAGATGGGCATTCCCTGAGTCTCTAGGGACTGCTCATAATGTGTTCACTGGCTTCAGGATTGACAGGCTCTGTCCTCAAGGGCCCTCCACCTACAGCAAGGGCCGAGGAACAGTTTTTGAGAAAGATCTTATTTGGCAGCAAGAGGAGGGAGCTACAGAGAGGTGACCCATTTGAGGATTCCCCATGGCCAAGAGGTATGTTGGGGAGGCATTTGTGGAGATGGCATCAGGGCAGAGGAACCCACCTGAAGCATGGCCCAACAACAGCCTCACAGCACCACAGCCACCAGATCATGAGTATCCTAACTCCCACTCCGACCCTGCCCCTCCCCTGCTCAAAGACCTTCCATGGCTCCCTTGGCCTACAGACCACAACAATCCCCTCAACCTGACAAACAAGCCCCTTCCCAATCAGACCCTCACTCCCAGCTGGGTCTCCACCCCTTCACTCCCCAAAACCTAGTCCAGCTGCTCAGACAGCATGCCTGACCCTCTCCTGCCCACCTTGCCTTTGCCCAGAATCTCCCACCCTCACCTCACACCTATCACATCAAATACTACCTCCTCAGGGAAGCCTTCCCAGATAGCTCCCTCATCCAGGAATCACTTCTTCATTTGTGCTCTGTCTACACCTCATAGAAAAGTGACACCAACAACCCTAATAACACTTATCCATTGCATGCTACTGGCAGCCACATGGGATGGATGCCATTATCATCTTCTCTTTATAAAAGAGAAAATACAGACACTGACTGGTTAAGGCACTTGTCCAAGGCCACTTGGCTATTAAGAGGCAGAGGCTATGCTCGCACGTGGGTCCTACCTTGCATACGCTGGACTCTGGAACCCCAGGCTGGATGTTCTGCAGCACCTGACATGCTTCTCAGAAATTAGCTGAATTTTGCCTGTCCCCCATGCCTCATGGCAGATTCTTAATAGGGAGTGGTTAAAGAAAGCTCAGCCCAAGAATGGAATTTACTTTATTTAACAGTGAGTTCAGCAAAGGAAGGCATGGGTTTGTCTGCTTTCCCAGCCTGCATAGCATCCGCCCCAGACCCATCCAGTGGGGCAGTGGCAGCTCTGTGGAGAGAGCTGGAGAAAGTGTGGGCCCTGCTCCCAGAAGGCATGTTTGCCCATCTCCTTACCACAGCCTGAGTCTGGGGACCCTGTGGAGTTATGGCTGTCATGCTCTCCACTTGTCCTGCCTCCCTCTCCACCAGAAGCCTGGAGGTTAAGGATGGAGGCTTCCCATTTGGCCTGAGAACTTTGGCAAACATGGCCCCTCCAGCCGTGCAGAGCTGTGCTCCTCAGCCTGCAGGAGGAAAGAGCAGAGCCAGTTTCTCTGTGTCTGCAGGTTGTCCTGTCAGAGCTCCTGGGAACTGTGGGCTCTGAGGTTGACAATACACAGATTACAGGGGCTTCCTGGGGGCTGAGGCTGTAGACTCAGGACAGGAGGAAGCTTAGCTGATGGATAGGTGGCAGGTGGATAGGTGGGGGCCAGGTGAGGGTGGTCTTTTCCCAAGCTGGGAGCCTCTGGAAGTTGGGGAGGGAACTGGGGGGCCCAAGCAGGATCCAAGGGAGAGTGAGTGGCTGTGCAGGACACTGGAGTGGTGGGAGCAGAGGACCCTGAGGGCCCCGAGAGCTGGGGATGACTGCTGGGCCCTCCCCATGAGGCCCCACAGCAAAGCAAGAGAGCCCAGAAGCTAAAACCACAGGAACCAGGGCCAGACAGACATCATCAGCTCTTAATTACCGCCGTCACTGACACCAAAAAGCCCACGCAGGCTCCTCTGTAAATAAACAGTGTCTCCTCGACTTTAGGGCACATCCCTGTGCGCACACATTTACCGCGTATGTGTGACCGGCGCCGTTCTCTCTCCACTCACTCCCCCCCCCCATGATAATTTCTGGTCAAGGTTTGTCTTCCTTACATTTGTTTGGGGCTCATGTTTATGACCCCCTGTGAGAAGGCAGGGAGGAAGTTTAATCCACATTTACAGGGGAGAAAACTGAGTAGCTATGCCTCATTCAAAGCCACACAGCTAGCAAGCGGCAGAATTTTCCCAGGATCCTGGGATTTTCCTTCCAGGGCAGGTCCATCAGGGTTTCCACTCCTGAAGTAGGGACCCTGGAGCGCTTGGAATGGAAGTGGCCAGGTGGCCCCTGTGACATTTAAGACATTGCAAATAAGGAAGGTGGGGCTGGAGCCCGTGCAGCCTGAGGACCAGAGGCGAGCTCAGGGGCTAAGGGATGGGAGGGCCCAGTGCGCGTGGGGGTGGGAGATGAAAGAGTGCTGGGCAGGAAGGCCATGCAGAAGCTCTTAGAGGGGCTAGAAGCATCCGCAGAGGACTGGCTGGGCGAGGGACACACTGGGCCTCTTATTTCCAGGATGCCAGGTTTGGGGGTTGATGTGGATCCACTGGACTCACACAGGGCCAACACAGGGAGGGGCAGGGGGAGATGTCAACCTGTACAATTCCTCCGTTTTGCAGATGAAGAAACTGAGGCACAGAGAAGGGAAGAGACTTCCCAAGGTCAGCCAGCAAGGCAGAGCTGGGAGAACTTGGGGCTCAGAGCTCCAGAGTGCAAGCCAGATGGAAGGGTAGGGCGGTGGTTCTGGGGGGCTCTGTGCTGAGGGAGGGTGGCTGGCCCTGGTCACTGAGGGTCTGATCTGTACATGTCCTCCCCAGGGGCACCCACCAGAGATGTCCTGCTGGTCTCTGCCATCATCACCGTCAGCCTTAGCGTCACTGTCGTCCTCTGCGGCCTCTGCCACTGGTGTCAGCGCAAACTGGTGAGGCTCCTCAGGGCCCTGGGGACGGGGCCTGGCCTTGCGCCCCGCCCCCCACAATTACAGGCTGGTGAACACTTTCAAGGACGCGCGCTTAAGTCCCACCTGCCTGCCCGCACAGCCCTGCACATTTCTGTACATGTTCACACCGCACGCATGCACGCACTGCGTTTCCCAGCATGTTGGCCCCACATGTCTGTGTGTACCCCCAAAGCCACACACCTAGGAACACATTCGTGGACAGACAGGAACTCAGCGGCAGTGGCTCGCAACTGCACGCACACACGCCCCACCTCCTGCAGAAAGAACCGCAGACACACACGCGCAGACTGAGAATCCGGGCCCCCGCCCCTCCGCCCACTGCCCCCAAAAGGGCGGGGCGGGGCGGGGCCGAGCCTCCTGGCCAATGAGGAGGCACCGCCAGCGCCGCCCCACCCCCTGCGCCCGCACATCCATCCTGGTTTTCCGCGTTTGTACAAGCACAAACGGCTTCTTTTCATTTTTAACGAGGGCTGGGGAATTAACGATCAGCATTAGGCCATCAATAAGTAAGGAGACCGTCAAGAGGAACATTCATCACCCGAGGGCTCCAGAAGGGGGAGCCGGGCTGAGCTGCCCGCCCGCAGCTCCCCGAGGGTGGTTGCCTCGCGGGACCCCTACTCATCCCCCATCCTGCCGCCCCAGCCCAGAAGTGCGGTGGGGACTTTGAGGGCTTCAGAGAGGCACCCCCAAAGCGGCTTCGGAGGTGTCCCAGGTGCGGGAGCTTTCCCAGGGTTAGGTGATGAAGGTTCCCTCACAGGTACCTCCCATCCCCCAGACCGAGAATGGTGGTGGTGGGAGGAGGACGCCACACCTGGGAGCCCCGTTCTCTCCCTGCCAGCCACAGAAGGGCCTTAAGGACGGGGTAGGGCTGCGGCCGTGGGTACTACGTTAGTGTGGAAGAGGACAGGCAGATTAACCCAGCATGCCTCCTTCACGAAAGGCGAACTCGTGCCATCCTGGGATATTCAGCTACGCAGCTTTCCCTGGGGAGGAGCCATGGAGAAGGGCAGCTCTGCCCCGTGTGCAAGTGTGTGTGTGACCCAGGCGGCTTCCTGAGCGCAGGTGTGCCGAGTCAGGCTGGCTCGTGGATCTCCTGGGTCTGCGTCTGTCTCAGATTTTCAGGCTTGGCCACGCGTCTGTGTTGGAGTGTCCTCAGAGGCAGAGGGAGTGGCTGAGAACACACTGCAGCCCTGCAGGGCCCTTAGGCTGTCTGTCCGTCTGTATTTGAAGGCAGAGGAAAGTGTACGAGCAGACCCTGCTGGTGACCTTGAGTGAGGGTCTTTGTGCTGAGTGTGTCGACTTTGAGGGTGTTGGTGCAGTGTGTGTGTGTGTGTTCACCCCTGCATGGTGGGATGTGAATCATCTCGTCAGATCCCTGAGTGAGCTGACACATCTGCTCCACTGTCCCAGACTCCCCTGGTAAGTGTGCAGTGTGAGTGTGTGTGTGTGTGTGTGTGTGTGTGTGTGTGCGTGCGCGTGTGGGCCAGCCTCACCCCCACCCCTACTCACTTGGGGACTGGAACTCAAAGACAACAACTTTTGTAGCAGCTGAGGGGCTGTCAGTGCAGGAACTGAGAGATGCAGAGCCTTCCCTGGCCCCAGCCCCTCCTCCCAGCCTACAGCCAGGAACTTGCCAGAGGACCAGACCACAGTCTATCCCTCTAGAGTTGCTCCCCTGAACTGACCAGCCCCCCAACACGGCCACACCCCTCCCCTCCCCCAGGTCCCAGAAGCCAGGGGGCTTTTTACTGGCACTGTCTCTGTGCTCCTTGCAGGGGCTTTAAAATGCCCCCTGCACAGTAGCTGGGCTCTGCTTGCCTGCCTGTCCCCTCTGCAGCAGTGACGTGATCCCTGACAGCCCAGATCCCATTTCCAAACATTAATAACTTCCTTAATCTCCAGCTGGCTTTGTCCAGATCAGCCTGGCTGGTGATGTTGGGATCCTTTGGAGCCTCCTAATGTCTCCTGGATCCTCCTGGGTTTCCTGCTGCGGCCCCATTATCTCCCCTGTTCCTCCACATCAAGTCCTGCCCTGGTGCCTGTCCCCCACAGCGCCCTGCATCTGCTGCAGAGGGATAACTGCAGCTGGACAGGAAGGTTTCCTGAGCTGTGGAAAGAAAAAGGCGAGCTCTGGGTGAAGCAGAGGGGGCCCACCACAGCCTTGCCTGGCCCTGGGGAAGGGGCGGCTGCCCAGCCTTAAAAGAAAGTGCTGAGTGGGTTAAATTCCCCTGCCAAGACTAGGAAGAGGAGGGGCTGAGGGGTGGGGACAGGGGGCCCTCACAGGGCCCCCCCTGCCCCCACTCTCTGAAGTACCAGGGAATAGTGGGGGTGGGGCTCCTGTCTGTGACCTACCCAGGAAGAGCCCCAGGCCAGCATGGAGCAGCTCCAGGCCCTAATCTTTGGATTAGGAACTGAGAAAAGTTTGGGATTTGAACCTCTGGGTAACGATGGGAGGGACGGAAATGGTGCCGAGAGAGGGCAGCTTTTGTGGATCCAGAAGATTCAGCAGCCTGAGTTTTTAACTCTTAAAGCTTTGGCTCAGGGGCAACAGTGGTAGCTGGCACCCCAGGGCAGGGGGGACACGAGAGGGGTGCTTCCAGGTGATCCAGTGGACAGGTTTTGAGGGCTGCTGAGTACCAGGTTCCACACCAAGTGCTAGAGACCAAACAGTCCCTGCCATTGCTGGGAGTGGGACCTGAAGTAGGTAAGGGGACCCTTGAAGTGGGGGACCCAGGGCCCATCTGGTGACACCACACCATTTAAGGAAGGAGGAAAAGGAAGCCAGAGAGGACTTAGCCAGGTGACATGAGGAATGGGGACCAGGATCCAAGCGCCCCTGAGATGTAGGGGCTCTGGAGGTGGAATGAGGGCTTTCCCCCCATGCCCCACCCCCTACTGGGGAGCTCATTGCCCGGTCAGTGCCCATGACGGAGTGCTGGGGCCACATGTGCGTGTGTGTGTGTGTGTGTGTGTGTCCACTCAGCTGAGCGGGGCAGGCCAGTGCCCAGTGGGAGAATGGGCTGTTGGGGGCAGCCCCAGTCCCCTGCATAGCTGCCAACCCCCCGCAGCCCACCTTAGTGCTGGGCCTGGCCCAGGCCCTTGACCCACAGGTGCGCATGAGGACGCTGGGTGGCAGCCAGGAATGTTAATCAGCCAGGCTCTGCATGAGCTAAATTTAGAAACCCAAACTGGGAAGGTGGATGGCGCTCACCTCCTGGCAGCGGGCCCAGTCACAACCGCTGCCCTTCTCTAGCCAGGGGTCCTGGTGTACCCACCATCCTGCCCTGCCCCTCCTCTCATGTAGTTGTGAGGAACTCTGGGGGGCTGGAGCAGGCACACCCCCATCTCAGAGCCATCTCTTCCTGAGGTGGTCTTCCTATGAAGGAGAGTGCTCAGGTCGGCCCTGCCTCACAGCCCCGGGGCAGGGGGTCCCAGGGAGCCCCGAGACAGTGCTGGACACAGCCCCAGACAAGCCTGGGTTATAGGGGTCTGTCCCCGCCCCCGCCACCCACCTCACTGGCTACTGCCAACCTTGCCCAGCAGGATGCCACCCCCACCATCTGGGGACAGTGACGTGGCCAATGTGATGTGGCCAATGTGACGTGGCCAGGCGCCTGAGAGCCGTCTGTCCATGGCAGAGGAAGATGTGTTTCTGGGAGCCAGGCCAGAGTCCCAGGAGACAGGCATACAGAAGGGGCCTCATCCCCAGGGGTCAGGGGTGGGGTACAGGTCAAGGGCGCAGGGCAGGTCCTAGAGGCTGAAAGGATTGCCAACCAGGGAGCACTGTGGGTGGGGCAGGCACCCCATAGTGGTTGCCTAAGCAGAGCCCCAGTCTGTTCCCTGCCCCCAGGACTGTTCTGGGGAGGCAGGGAAGCGGGGTGCCACCCTGTCTCCCAAGAGTGACCCCCGTGCTGTCTCCACAGGGCAAACGCTACAAGAATTCCTTGGAGACGGTGGGCACGCCAGACTCGGGGCGTGGGCGCAGTGAGAAGAAAGCCATCAAGTAGGTGCCAGGCTTCAAGTTTGGGATGGGGGCATGCAGGCAGCCTGCACGGGAGGATCCCCTGCTCACACACATTCAATTCCCCCTCACACCCACCAGCACGCTCCCAGGTCCTCAGGGCAGCTCCAGGGCAGCAGCCTGTACCCGCCAGACCTTCACAATGTCCCAGGGCTCCCAGCCCCATTTTCTGGCTGCCATCACTCCAGCATAGTGTGCCTCCCCCCTCAACTGGTTGCTGGTTCCAAGCTCACAGCACATAACCGTCCCTAGCTCCCTTCTAGCCCCTCCCCAGCCCTGGGCTGGTGACCCCTCTGCCGGGGGCTCAGGCTCTTTTCTTAGCCATCACCAGTCTTCTAACGGTGACCCAGGACAGGGCAGGCCTGGGGCTGGGCCGCTCAGAGAGCAGAGTGGTGCGGACTTCCCCCTCCCCCAGCGCTCCCAGTCCCCAGGGCCCTGCTGCCTGCTGCCATTGTCCTGCCCAGGTTTCCCCACTTTGCTCAACAGCCTCTTCACGTAGGCCCGTCTGCCTTCTGCTGCAGACCGCCTTGGCCAACCCACTGCTCAGGGTTCCTGGGAGACACCAGGAGCCCCCCACCCCCACCTGGCTGAGGCTCCAGGAACAGAGGGCTCTCTCCAGAGGGCCCTGTGTGCTCGGCCAAGGGCCCTGGCCCCTTCCTCTCTGCTGAACCCAGGCCCGCACCAGGAGGCTGTCAGGTTGAAGTAGGGCTGGGTGCCCCGGCCTTCCCTTCTGCCTGCTTCCCGCTGCCAAGCCCCTGCCCTTCCCCTTGTCCATCTTTCTCCCTTCATCTCTTCCTACTCCCCTGCTGCCTCCTGAGGGCTCCCTCCCTGCCCCTACTCTTTTTTTAAATCTCTTGCTCTGACCCTGTTTGGGGCCTGCACAGAAGCTGTGGGTGTGTGTCTATGGGGGGTGGGTAAGTGTTGGGGTGGGCCAGGCTGAGGCTGGGGATGGGGACCAGGCTCCGAAGGAGGCCACAGGAAGCCTTTGAGGCTGGCTTGGGTTGCACACTCTCCAGTCTTCAAAGCCGAGAGCTAGCAGATCTCAGGGGCAGTTGCAGAGCCCAGGCCGCAGGCTTTCTGAAGGCAGGGAGGCACCACGTGGGAGGAGCACCAGGCCCCAGACTTCTGCAGCCTCCAGACCAGGCCTCTAACTGAGCCACAGCTACTGACAGGGCAGGGGGCCTATCTCGGCTGGGTGATGATAACCTTCCTGGGCAGGGGAGTGTGTGTCCTGGGTTGACCTGGAAAGGGCCCACGAGAGGAGATGCAATCTCCATTAAGGGGAGGATGGGCAGTGGGCTCTGCAGGCTGGGGCAGCACCCATGAGAGCTCTCTGAGACCAAGATGGCACCAGCAGGCCATCCCCCACCTCTCCGTGGCCCCCTCCCACCTTGCTGAGTTGTTAGCCCCCTGCCCCAGGGTAAGGAAGCCCCCTTCATGTCTACATGCCCACAGGTTGCCATGACCCAAAGCCAGAGAAGTGGCAGGAGATTGCACAGGCTCTCTGTGGGCTTAGGACCTCTTCCGAAGGGATAATCTTGTCAAGGATTCTGGGAAGCTGCGTTTTTTAGCAGTGCCTCCCAAATCATGTTCCTCGGAGTACGTGTGCCCTATAAATGATTCATAGTTATTCCATGAATCCAGAGTTTCATGACCAACTAAGTCTGGGCAACACTACCCACTGTATTTCCCTCTTGGAGATGCTGGTATTCATTGGCACAAGAAAGATTCTGAGAAGTCCCTGCAATAAAGGAACCAGTGTTTCCTCCACCTATCTAATTAAAGTTCTTCTTTCCCAGTACTGCCCCAGGCCACCTGAGGGGCCTGGAGCTCCCTGGATCACAGGGGGGAAGACCAGCCGGTAGTGATGACCCTGGTGGACCTTTCTCTCCAGGACCTAGGGTTGGACGGCCCTTGATTTTGGAGATCTGAAAGGGCTCAGGGGAAGGAGGCCTGCCAGGTGCTCCATCCGTCTGTGACACTGGGGGAAGAGTACCAAGGGACACCTCTGGTGGGGATAGGGTCTTCTGTGGGAGGAGCCTCCCCAGGAAGGGGCCTTCCGATGCAGAGGGCCTGTCCTGCCTCTCCCATCCCCAGCCCTCACTGCCCCTGTGAGCTGGCTCAGGTCGTTGACACTGAACCCTGTAGACACAGAGTCCACCTGAGACATTTTCAAGGTATGCTCTGGACAGACAGACTCTGTCCTCAACAGGTAGGCCTCAGGAAGCCATGTCCACCCTCGAGCAGGGTCACTGTCTCCACTGAGCTTGGGAGCTCAGCTTCTTTCTGTCCTTCTCTCCTTTGTTGCTGAGGCTGAGGCTGAGAACCAAGGTCAAGGTCAAACTCTCAGGGGGAGAGAAGCAGGTTCCCTAAGAACATGCATGCTCAGTCCTCAGGGGGCGTGCCTCCATCGCAGTGCCCTCCCCACAACAGGGCCCTCACCTTGGCCTTGAGCAGTAGCACAGCCTCAGCACATGCCACAACCCAACCCTCTTCCCTAGAGCCCCTTCCCTAGAAGCATTCCTGAGGGCTCAGTCATAACTCCCTTCTGGAAAGTTCCTTTGGCTTGGGAGCTGCCTCTCCTTTCTCTGTGCTTCAGGCCTGCTCCTCAGGGCCCCGGGAGCCTGACAAATGGATGGAACCCTTTGTCCTTGGTACCTGGGGTTTCCAGGCCATGCCTTCTGCCAGCCAAGGCTTCTGCCACCTGCCCCTAATGGGAAGTCCACATATTCTCTGTGCTTCCAACATATCATCTTTGGTATGTCATGCTTGGAGCAGGAAGGGATGGGGAGACTGGGGCAGAGGGTCCCTTTCAGACTCAGCAGCTCCACCTTGGAAAGGGATAGGGCATGGGGGGCTACCCTAGCTGTAGGCCAGGTATGCCCCAAGGACTGGAGGCTGTCTGCTTATCGTTTTCTCAAGAGAAGGGCAGGCTCCCTCCACACAGGCTCCAGAACAGAGCACCTGAAGGGTCCCTGGTATCACTGGTCACACCTTCAGCAAGGTCAGAAGCCTGGAGACACTTCCTTTTCTTGGGGGGACCCAACCACCACATTTGCAATGAGTGGAGAATGTCTTCAGCTCAGCTGAGATCCTGCTAATCTCATGTGAAGGCTGTATCCCAGCCTTTCCCGAGGCTGGAGGGCCCCAGGCCAATGGGGGGAGGAAGACGGTGCCTGGACCCTGGACTGCCCCGGTGTGGCTCAGTGGAGGTGGATGGGTGAGGGCGGAATCTCAGGTCTTCCAGAACTGGGGCCTCAACCTCACCATGGGAGATAGGTGGTCTAGTGGTGACAGCCAATCTTCTGGTTTGACAGGCAGGGACACTGAGACCAGGAGAAAAGGGGGCCCAGCAAGTTGGTGGCAGGGTCTGATCGACCTTTCAGCTCTTTCCAGCCAAAAACCAGGTCCTCTCCTACTCCCACCCCCCACGATCCCACCCAGGCCTGCCCACCCGCCTCACCATCTTTCTCCCACCAGCGTCCTGGGTGCAAGGCTCCGGCCTGCCTTCTTGCAGCTCGCCTCCTCTCTGCGCGGCTTCTCTTACCCTTGAGTGTGTGCACGTGTGCCTGTGTGAGCGTGTGTGTTGGCGCCCCTGCCCGGCCGCCTCTCTTCCTCCCGCAGGAGCAGACCCGGCCACCCTGCCCTCTGGGTGCCCGGCTCGGGCCCAGTCCCCTCTGCCCCTGCAGGACCTCAGTTCTTGTTTCTTCTTGTATCTTCCTGTTTTCTCCCCTCTCTCTCTGCCCCTCCAGCGATCTAGACAGAGACTTTTGGAATAACAATGAGAGCACAGTGCAGCAGAAATGGAGTTCCTACCCTCCCAAGGAGTTTATTCTAAACATTTCACCCTACGCCCCTTATGGCGACCCACGACTGTCCCTCAAGTGAGTGACTTTACCTGGTTTGATCATATGTACCGAGTATCCGCGCACGCCCTCCTTCCCCCTCCACCCGACTTTTCCGCTCCTCTCCCCCCACTTCCCACCCATGCACCCCATGGGCAGGCTGACCATGGAGACGAGCAACCCCTCCTGCCCCTGGCCTGCCTGCCCTCTCCTGCCCCCTCCCCCAGGGCCAGCCACGCAGGAGAGCCCCCTCCGCAGCCACACCCGACCCGCGCATCCCTGGCCCCCACCTCCCTTCTGTGCAGTCAGGATGGGGTTGCCCGTTTGGGTCCCTCCCTCGTGGTGTGGCTCGCTTTTTCCTCCCTGCTGTGTGCTGCTGCCCTGGCTGCTCGGTGGTGGTGGTCGGTGGTCGGTGGTCGTGGTGGCGGTGGCGGTGATGGCGGTGACGGTGGTGGTGGTGATGAACTCTGACTAACACGGCTTTCTCTTTCTCCCTGCCTTGGGGCCTCCTGGCCTGGACAGTCCGCTCTTCCTCCGTCGTTAACCCTTCGTTGTCCTGTGGGATAGAGTTGGAGGTGGCTGCCCTCCCCCAACCCCCGCCGCCCCTGCCCCAGGCGGTGGGGAGGGGCCCCCCCTCCGTTGTCGTGGTGCGTTGTTCTCTGCCCCCCAGCCCGCCCGGTCCCCTCTCTCCTCTCTGCAGGCTCTGCTGTTAACCCATTTGCAGTGCTGATGTCTCTCTCTCTCTCTCTGTCTGTCTCTTGTCCGTCTGTCTCTCTCCTCCTCTCTCACTGTCTCTTCCTTCCTTTTATCTGTCATTGTTTCTCCTCCTCTCCACCCTACCCCCACGTGTGGCCTGCCCTCTCTTCCCCACCGCCACCCCCGGTGCTCCTCTGGCCCGGCCATCTCGTGCGCCTCCAGTGGCACCCTCCTGTCGGGCGCCAGAGTGGCTGCCGCAGCGGGGCTGGCGGTGGAGCGGGAAGGCCGGCTGGGGGAGAAGCTGGTGTCGGTGCCGCCACCTGGAGAGGACGCCTTGAGAAGCGGCGGGGCTGCCCCCAACGAGCCGGGCAGCGGTGGCAAGGCGGGGAGAGGCCGCTGGCGGATGGTGCAGAGCCACCTGGCCGCAGGGAAGCTCAACTTGTCCAAGTGAGTGATGGCCCCATGGCTGCCAGAGCCGTGAGCTCAGGCCTGCCCCGCCAGGGTGGCAGCGGGACCCCTGGCATGCCCGCTGCCATCCCAGAGGTGCCGTCCTCGGCCCCTGGCTCATTCCATCCCTGTGTGAGACTCCCATCATCTTTGCCATCAGGCACAACTAACAGCCATGCAGTGTCGCATCTCAGCCTCCAGCTGCTGCCCCCATCAGTCTCTTACTTTGCCAGTGACCAGGTCATTCCATTTTCTGCCCCAGGGCAGCTTCATTTCAGTTCTTGGGTCATCCCATCCTCTTCGATTGGCTGCCCCATCTCAGCCATCAGGTCATCCCCCCATGGGCAGCAGACCTGTGGTTGTTCAGCCATTGGACCATCCCATCCTTGGGGAGCTGGCCCACCCTCAGCCTGTGTTTTATGCCACTCATTTGTCACTTCCCTCTTACAGCCAGCAGATGGCTCTAGACCCAGAGGTTGAGCCATTCCATTTTTGACCATCAGGTGACTCCATTGGCTTGACCCTGTCTTGCTTGCATCATAGCACCATCTGCTATGCAGGCCACCGTGAGCAGCTGGGCTGTCCCCATTGATTCATCCTCATCTCAGCCATCCCCATGGGCTGTCCGAGTCTTGGTCAGCGAGCTGTCCTACTCTCACCTATTGGGATTGTTGTTCTTGGAGGTTGGGTTGTTGAGCCCCCAGCTAGCTTCTCTTTTCTAATGAGGGTGGTCTGGATGTCAAACACAAGAGCTGTTTCCTCTTTAATAGCTGTCCAAGCTTGCCAAACAGTCTGCCCTCTTTTGGGTGATGGACATAGGGTTGGCCCCTGTTCTTGGCAGATAATATGCTCCCCCCTCCCCTACATGGACCAGCCTTATTTTTATCTTGGCTTTTAGAACCTTCCATTTCCCCATAGCTGAGCCCTTCTGAGCTCTAAATCCTTTGAACTATGACCATCCTCACCCACTGGGACATAGGTTCCGTTTTCAGCTATTAGAATGACCGCACTCCCAGCTGGTGAAGTAGCCTCTCACTTAGAAGGTCATCAGCACTGACTGCTTTGTAGCTGTTGGGCTGTTCAGTTGCCTTCATTCAGGGACCTCCCGATTTTCTTCAGAAAGCCTGTGATTCCCACCATTGGGACACCTGAGGGCCACAGCGTCAAGACCTCATTTCTTGTTGGCCTGAGGGAACACAGGCTGATTTCTCCCCCAATGTGGGGCCTCAGGAGGGTCCCAGAGGGAAGCCCCACACCCACTTAGAGAGCCAGGCCCAGTACCTCACCCTCCCCAGGCTGCTCAGCCACAGACTCCAGGCTGGCGGAGGCCTCCATGCCATCCGCAGGCTCTAGGCCTAGAGGAATCAGTTTTAGTTTCCTGTGACTGAGAGGTTGTAAATTGGACTAATTTTGGATGTGATAGGAAACCAAAATGAGGTCAGCAAGGAGACAGCAGCTGCCCTAGTGCCACCCGCCCCAGCACTGGCCTGCCCCCAGGGAGCTATGGGCCTGCCTGTATGGTAGCCCTGATCCGAGGCCTGAGCCAGCCAGGCTGTTGTCCCCTCCCAGACCCCAGCTAAAGCCACATTTTGCTCCTCTCTCTCTCTCTCTCTCCCTCTCTCTCTCTCTCTCTCTCTCTCTCTCTCTCTCTCTCTCTCTCTTTCGTTCTCTTTTTACTGTTCTCTGACTTTCTCTCCCTCCTTTGCTCTCTCTTTTTTAACTTTCTCTCTCTCTCTCAGCCCACAGGGGCAGTCTAACTGTTGTCCTTTGGTTCCCAGGGTAGACTCAGGAGGTGAGCAAAGCTGAGGTCTGGTGCAGTGGTGAAGGCGGCTCTCAGGGCCCTGGGTGCCCCCCCAGCCCCCACCCCCCACAACTCAGGGGATACACGGCTGCCCCATGGGCCTAGACCAGCAGTTGGCAAACTTTCTCTATAAAGGGCCAGATAGGAAATATTTAGGCTTGCAAATCACATATAGTGTCTTTTACTACTACTTGACCCTGCTATGATAGCTCTAAAGCAGCTGTAGATGGGATGTGAGCTAACGACTATGGCCATGTTCCGGTAAAACCTCATTTACAAAAATGGGGGGGCAGGCCAGATTTGGCTTACAAGCCATAGTTTGCCAATCCCTGCCCTATACTCCTGGACTAGGAGCTGGAGAGAAGGGACAGAGGAGGAGACTGGGACCTCGAGGGCTCTGGCCTTGACTGGGGGACATGCTAAAATCTCCGGCCAGGGGACTGGGGCGAAGCAGGAAGGCTGACGAGGGAACTAGGGGTCTCTGACTCCTCCTACCCATCTCCTGAGATGCTTGCGGCCAGCACTGACCAGTGCTGGCCCTGGGAGCACGGACAGACTCCAGCCACCCCTGGGCCTCCCTCAGTAGCCCTCGTGTCAACCCTGTGACAGAGGCAGCTCAGGGGTTATTTTTCACCCTCATTTTACAGATGGGAAAACTGAGAGGTGGACTCACTTTTCCAAAGTCTCACAGTCAGGAAGCAGCAGAGATGGGGTTTCAACCTAGGTCTCTGACCTCACACAGCCTCTGGGCAGCCATGTCCTGCTTCCTGTCTGTCTGTCTGTGCCCCTTTCCCAGCATTTTCAGAGATGCTGGTGGGCCTGTGAGGCAGGTGCCCTGTTGCAAGTGCATAGAGGAGAGGACAGCCACCCTGTTACCATCAGAATTGTGGCAAAGAAGTCAAATAAATGGTTCCTGGGCTCCCACCTCCTCTCCTGTCCCGGGGCCCCTCTGACTGGGAGTCACTCCCAAGACACCAGGGAGGGACACCCAACCTCAGAAGCAAGGAAGCCTGGAGAAAGGGGGAAGCTCTGGGCCTGAGGCAGCTCTGGCCGCAGGGCAGAGGTCTGGGAGCCCGAAGACACTCCCTGGCCTCAGTGGAGGAAGCATAAGAACTGCTGGCTCCTCCAGCTCACCAGGCGTTACTAGGCCAGCTCTGCACTGACCTGGATTTCCTCACGTCTCCAAAGGCCAGTAGTACTGAGAACAGACTTTCCTGGGGTCCCCCAGTGAGACAGCGGGAGGGGAGGCCAGCAGCTCCCTGCTCCCATCCCATTCCTACGCGACAGGCAGCTGCAGGGCCCTGGGGACCCAGGGACCCGCCTTCACCGCACAGCCTCTGCGGCTGCCTCGGCCTTCAGACCAGCCGAGATCCGCTCAGACAGGAGGTATTTGGGCCCTAGCGGAGCCGAGGCCACAGGGTGGGTGTGGGACTCGTGGCATCCTGGGTGAGGTGGTGGCAACATCTGCGGCGACAACTGCGATGGAGGCCTGGCGAGGTCCGGCAGAGCGCACCCTGCACTGGGGCCTCCTGGTCCTGGCCCTCGGCTTCTTTCTCCTCCACTGTGATCCCTTCATCTGCTTCTCCTTTCTCTCCTCTCCTCCACCCGCCCCAAGTTTCGAGGACTCCACCCTGTCCACCGCCACTACCCTTGAGTCTATCCCCAGCTCCACGGGAGAGCCGAAATGCCAGCGACCCCGCACCCTGATGCGGCAGCAGAGCCTGCAGCAGCCGCTGAGCCAGCACCAGCGGGGCCGGCAGCCCAGCCAGCCCACCACCAGCCAGAGCCTGGGCCAGCTGCAGGCCCACACGGCCTCTGCGCCCGGCCCCAACCCCCGGGCCTATGGCCGGGGCCAGGCTCGGCAGGGCGCCTCGGCCGGCTCCAAGTACCGGGCGGCTGGGGGCCGCAGCCGCTCCAACCCGGGCAGCTGGGACCACGTGGTGGGGCAGATTCGAAACCGAGGCTTGGACATGAAATCCTTCCTGTAAGTCCCCCCCATTGAGCGGGCTGGCCCCTCACTTCCCTGGCCCAGTCTCTTTCCCCTGCATCTCCCTGGGAGCAGCTGGTCCCCCATCTCCTGGCCCTCCAGGCAGACTTGTCTGCGCCCTCCACAGCCTCATGCCTGAAGCTCCCCATGGAAGGATTAGAATCTGAGCCACCCCTCTGAGGAACCCCGTCCTCCACTCGGTGCCTCCGGGCTCAGAGAAGTTCCCTCCCTAGAAATCAGTGGAGATGCCAGCGAACCCTGCCGAGGTCCCCAGATCAGTCACCTCTTCCTGACTGGTCCCAGTTGCCCCTGACCTCCCTGGCAGCCTACACCTCTGCTCCCTGAATTCCTGTGGCCTCCCTCCTCCCCTTCCCCCAGACCTGGTGTCCTTTCACTCCATCTCCCAGGCCCTGCCTCCTCCCTCCAGATTACTTCTTCCCTGTCACCCGATTCTGCTCACCTTCCTGCCCTGCACACCCTCCGTCCCTCTCACTTCCCCCATCCCTGCCACCGGCCCTGTGCTCTACCTCTCCGACCTTCTACAGAGCCCCCTGTCCTCTAGCTCCTGCCCTGGCTCCTGTAACAACCCATCCGCTGAGGGCAAACCTTAGGTGTTCCTCCCAAAGCTTTAGAATTTTGTGCACACAAGTCTGAGAAATAACAACTCACCGTCAGTGTCTGACCCTAGCTCTTCCCTCCAGCCACGTGTCCCCTGCCCCACCCACCTTGGCTGGTGCAGCCCGCCCAGGGCACCCTCTCCCCAGCATGCCTCCGGACATCACGCTTACTCTCAGTGTCCAGGGCAGACCCGGACTTCCGTCGCTGAAATCACAGTGCCTCCTCTGGCCTAACGTGACCTTCCTTTCAGGCTCTGGGGGTTATTCCCATTGCCCGGATCTTCTCTGGGAGCACTTTTCTTGGAGCAGGAGACAGACCAGCACACTAAGCCTGGGAAAGGAGGAAGGGAGGAGGAAGACAAAGGCCAAGGTCAAGGCCAAGTCCACTGTGACGTTATGGGGATTCTGAAGGCAAGCAGGTCCACCAGAGCATCCTGCCTCTCAGGCTGAGAACGCAGCCCAAGCTTTCAGGGCAGATGGAGGTGCTGCCCCTGGCAGAGGCACCCCAACAAGAGAGACCTCACCATGCCTGCTTTCCACACCTGTGCAAGCGACCTGTGGCGCTGGCCCTGCAGTACGTGCTGCCTGTGCCTCTACGTGGCAGACCCAGGCAGCACAGCCACAGGGGCTCTCTGCCGCCCAAGGACCCATGGGAATCCAGCTGACCCCTGCCTGAGACGAGATGCCCAGCAGAGCTCCCTGGCTTCCAGGTGGTTTGTTTTTGGATGGGTACATGGCACTAGCTTGGATTAGGAGAGTCAAGGAAATTGTTTCTGGATGGAAGTGAGAGCCTGCACCCCTCTCCTCCTGCTGACCTCGGGCCGTTCTGCACAGCCATCACCGTGCCTCCTGTTCTACCAGCCATCAGACCAGGGCAGAGGCCGTCCCCAGGCTCCGGAAAGAAGGGAACCAGCTGCAGGCAAACCCCCGTGTACCAACTCTTCCCACCGCCCCACTGGTCCGGCAGGATTTGATGAACAGTGCTCACATGCCAGGATCCTGCGTCCACGTGGCTTCTGCCCACTGCAGCTTTCACGCCCCTTGCCTGCTGGCCACCTCCAGAACTCACCCCACATCCTGGCCGCTCCACTTGTAGTCCCTCACAGCAGGGGTCAGCACATTTTTTCCTGTAAAGAGCCAGATTATAAATATTTCAGGTTTTGCAGGACATGTGGTTCCAATCACATTTTTTAAAACAGCCTTTAAAAACATACAAACCATTCTTAGCCTATGTGCTGTACAGAAACAGGCCACCAGCTGTAGTGTGCTGACCTCTGACCCCTGCCTGACATTTTAGTTGGTGTGTCTCTGAGGCCCTTGCTGGTGAACAAGGTAGAGAGGCAGTGTGAGAGGGCCAGCCAGCTCCCCCAGATCCTCCCCCTTGGCAGAACAGGTGGCATTCCTCCCATTTACTGGGCAGGACCCCCAGGACTGCCAGCTTCTCCCCAAACCCTCCTCCTCCAGCCCCTCATTCTCACCCTTGCAGCCTGCAATGCCGGAGAGAAGGACAAATTGGGAATTTATGCAGAGGAGCCGTTTTGCTTTTAAGAGCAAAAGGAGTATCTGAAAAATGCATTAACCAGGGAAAAACATGTTGTTTTTGCTGGGCTCTCCTTCCCCCAGCTCCACCAGCTCCCAAACAGCCAAATGGAATTTTACCAACTCTAAAACAGTACTGGTGGGCAGAGAACAAAGAAAATGAGGATTCATCCTGAGGGAAGGGGAGAATTGCTTTCCAAAAGTTAGATGCCCGTGCAGGTGTCAGCCTGGAGGAATTGTGCTTAGGTCCAAAATACAAAGCGTCCTCCCCTACCTTAGACCCCACTAGTGCCATTTCTCATCTTCCCAGACCCTTGCGCCCCCCACCCCTCCCCTTGAATGCCATTTCTTACCTACTAGAGTTCCTTTTTTAACAACCTCTCTAGGAAACAACCACAGCCAGCAATTCCTCTCTAAGCTTTGCCCTCCCGGATGGTGGCTGAAGTGGTAGACTTCCTGGCCCAGGAGCTCCTGCTCTGGAACCTTCTTTCAGGCTCACCATCTTTCCCTTGGCCCTTCTTGGGACACGCTGTCAGCCTGCCCCATCAGAGCCTCCCTTTGTTCAGAGGAAAGACCCAGTGCTGAATGAGCTCTACAAAGCATCTAGAAAATGCCCATGAGCTCAGATGGTTTTGAAGGGCAGCATGTTCCTCTTCATCTGTGGAGAATGCAGGGGAAGCCTGCAGTTGCCTAGCGGTCCTCTGAGAATGCCCCCTACCAAAGATTCCTCACCTTGATCCTGCCCCACACTGCTGCCCATATGTCAACCTCCTCCATATGCCCTGCAGCCTCCTCCAGACTGTCTCCACTGCGGACACAGCCTCCCTCAAGTCCTGCCAGAACTCCAGACCCTGCCAGGTTCCTGCACTTTCTCTTCCCACCTTTGCTTTGGGGGGGCTTTCCGGACTGTTTCTTCAAGGAAAGGCCCCTGAACTGCACCCAAAAGCCTTGGTCGTTATTCCCTGGATCTCCAGGAAGTGGGACACAGGAGAAGGCCCGCAGCGGCCAGGACACCGTATGCCAGAAAGGACTTCCATTCTCCTCTGATGGAACCTGTGTTGAGGGACCTGGGGGAGGGTGTTTCTAAGTCCCCTGCTGGCTTTAAGGACATCTGGCTGACAGTGACCCAGAGGCATGTTTATGAGAGGCTCCCAGACTTTCTAAGAACTTCCCACGTAGGATCTCAAACCTGTCTGCACAGTCCCAGAGCAAGATGGTGACACACGCCTCCCACCTCTCCCGGGGCCCAGAGCCGGCAGCGTTCAGCTGGAGATAAAACGAGCTTCGGAAATGTGCAGTGTCCCAGGGCCTGGGTTCCACTCCCTCCAGCCCGCCCCACATGTTCCCTGGGAACCGCCCATCATACTCCGTCTCAGCAGGTCTTGCCCAGCTACTGCCCTGTTTCTCTCCAGAGAATGTCGCTCTGGTCCCAAGTCAAGCCTGGTGTTGGGCCCTGGACACCCACACTCCTTCCCTCCCTCCCTGCCTCCAGCCCCGCTGCTCCACAAGTGTTGACAGTGCTGCAATTTGGTTTCTCTCCTGCAGGGCCAGTTTCTTACGCTTTTTTCTTCTCTCTCTTTGTCTCTGTCTCTGTCTCTGTCTCTGTCTCTCTCTCCCCCCTCCCCGCCCCTGCCCCTGGGGCCTCCTCCTTTCACCCCGGCTGGTGGGCTGCCCGCCCTGGGCAGGGAGGGCCGGATGGTGGTGCTATCCTTGGTCTTAGGGCTTTCGGAACAGGATGATTTTGCCAATATCCCTGACCTGCAAAACCCAGGAACCCAGCAGAACCAGAACGCTCAGGGGGACAAGAGGTGCGAGCACAGGCGAGGGCCTGCGGCGGCGGCGACAACAGAGATGGAGGCACAGAGAGGCCGCCTGCCTCGACCGGCCCGGCTGCTGGACGAGGCAGTAGCGCCTTCAGTGGATGCCGGAGTGGGAGGCTGGCCACTTCCCCAGCCGGTGCCCTCACACATGGCCACCTTGGTGGCATCCCTTGGGTCTGAGGCCAGTGCGGCCGTCCTGGGACCATTCTGGATCAAGCCTGCTCCCTGGGCATGCCTGCCCTTGCCCGGAGCAAGCCAGCCTCTCTGCCCCATCTTCCCGCTTGGCTCCCCTCTGCTGCCCCCTCATCTTCCATCTCTGCCCTCTCCTGACCCAGAAATCCCAGTTTTTCTGGTGGTTGGTGGGTGGGGAGGGGATGCATGGTCAGGGGCACCAGCCTGCTGTCCCTCATCCTCACCACCTCAACCTCCCTTGGGCCTGGAGCTCCCTCTGGAGTGATGGGGGCACATTCCATTGCAGGGCTGCAACCATGCTGCTCAGCTGGTGAAAGAGGAGCCCCTGGTGGGGAGGGTCAGGGGCATGGGAGAGGCCTGGCCACCAGGAAGAACCAGAAAGGCAGCCCCTGGGCTGAGGGACCAGGAGGAAGGAATGGGGTGAGCGGCCAAGAGCAACCGGGGGTGCTGCCCAGCCTCCCTCTCACGGGGGCCCTGCTGCTGGCCCTCAGGGATTTCCCGTGTGGGCATCTACCCGCCCACAGCCTCAGCCACCAGGAGCTCAGGGAAGCATCTCCTAATGGGCACCCCCCTCCCCCACCGTCTCAGGGAGGGTGGGGAGCGCTGGTGGGGAAAGGGACAGGAAAAAGCTACAGGCCCCGGAGCTCAGGCAGCATTGCAAAGGTGGGATGGCCCTGCACCTGGTCTGGCTGCCTGCCCTCACTTGGCCTTGGGCTGGGCTGGCCACACACCTACAGTCATGGGAGGAGAGCTTGTTGCCTTGGTCAGGTCTGCTTCTTATCAGCTCAAAGGCTTCCGGGAAAGCATGTGGCCTGGCAGCCAGGGCACTAGGCTCCTGACTCTAGTCCTGCCAGAGGCTTGCTCTGCAACCTTGGGCAAGTCACAGCCCCTCTCTGGGCCTCTGCTTCCTCACTTCTCAAATGAAAGATTGCACAGGGTGACCTTTTCCAGCTCAGACATACTAAGCTTCTAATGAGCGAGCAGGCCCTGGGCTAGGGTACTTGTCAGATCCTGTGAACTGGGCAGAGACCCTGACACCCCTTAAGAGGCCCTTAGGGGGCAGGAAGGGACGGCCCTTGCTGCTGCCAGAGGCCTGCAGTCAGGGAAGAACAGAACGAGAATCATGCAGCTGTCTTGTCTGCCCCTCTGGTGGCCTCTGCAGACCAGCCCCCTCATTTCCCTCCCATCCTGAGTCCACAGTTGCATGTCTAGTGCACAGAGCCGGAAGTCCCCAGACAGTGAGCAGGGAGAGTGGGCCCGTTCTCTCGCCCAGTGGCACAGAGGGTGTCACACCCTGAAGCCATGTCCTGGGGCGCAAGAGGAATGCAGCCCGCCACCTCCAACCCAGCTGGTGCCACGGGAGTCCCAGGCTGGGCTTCAGGAAGGCCAGAGGGTCACAGGGAGAGGCTGCAGGGGTGCTGGGGCCCTCTGAAAGCCTGCGAGGAATCCAAGCCCCTTGCTGGGAAAGGTGTGAAGCGTGAGAGAGCAGATACAGGCTGGAAACGAGATTTCACATCAACCATGTGTTAATTAACTGGCTTCATTTTCATCACAGCCTATTTTTACCTCCTTGCCACTTAGGTCTCCCTCCATATTTAACACACCCATCCCTTCTGATCATTGCCTCAGCTGTCCCCTGCCTTCCTGGAAAGGTGGGTATGGAGCTGGAGGCTGTGGGTCCTCGCTCCCACCCAACCTGACTTTCCAAGCGGCCACATGCCATCCCCCCGGGTCACGCCCACCTCACCCTAGAAACTCACTTCTCACGCCTGTGGGGGTTTCCTGGGAGATGGGCACCGCAGCCTGCTCGCCCTCCCAGCATGGGCTCCGCTCCTCTGGCTGCCGGCTCCTGGGGCCAGGCACTGGTGGGCTTGGCTCAGCTGTCCTTCCTCCAGCGCCCACCCCAGTCCGCTCTCCTCCACCCAGCTGACCCTTTGGCCAGATGTGAGGGGAGGGACCCTTTGGTCCAGGGTGAGGGGAGGGAGGCCCTTGGCTTTCGCTGGGGAAGACATTCAGCCCCTGAGGTCTGTTAGCCGCAGGCCCCTTCAGAGGCAGCCCCTCCAGGTCCCAAGTGAGGTGGGGGTGCATCGGGCAAGCAACATGGAGATGGGAGGGCTGGTCACGCTCCCAACTCCCAGGATTCTTGGTGGCCCTGAAGTCCCCCGTTCAGGATCCCTCAGCCCCTGGGCCTCAGCACAGTGGGCCTGGGAAGGACGGAGGGAGGGAAGGAGGCCCAGGCTTCCCCTGGCTCCCGTGCCCTGCTGTGCCCACTCCCCCTTACCATCCACCCTGCACCCATCCCACCTCATGCTCAGCTGTACGCTTCACCATTGCTCTTTGGGATCCAAATGGTTTCCACTGTGGCCCCACCCCCACCCAGGTGGCGGGCGGGGCAGGGCAGGGACCTGGCCACCCGCATCGCTGTCCTTGCCCCCAAGCCACCATGTTTCTTCTGTTCCGGTGTGTGTCCCCCGCCTCCTCTCGGCTGCCTCGCTCCTCCTCGTCCCCTTGTCCACCCTGCAGCCTTTTTCACTCGTCTCCAACTAACCTTTCTTGGCCTCTCTCTCCCCTCCTTCCTCCATCTGCTCCTCACAGGGATGTCCCTGGGCCAGCGGCAGGCCCCTGCGCCTCTCCCTCTGCCTCTCTGTGCACTCGTCTCTCTGTCTCTCTCTGTCCTGTGACCTCCGGTAGCTTCAGGGGCGCTGACCATCTTCTCCCAGGCTGCTTTGCAGCTGTGCTGATGCTGTGGTGTGGCCAAAATAACTCCGATCTCATACCTTCAGCAGTCAATCTCGCGCTCTCCTCTCGCCCCTCTATTTTTAACCTGACTTTACCTCTCCAGCTATTTCAGTCTCCTCTTCCTCCCGTGCCTGTCTGTGTGAGCACGTGTTGTCAGGTGTGTGACCCTGTGTGTGTGTGCATGTGAGCACTGCTGTGGCTGCGCCTGGGAGGGGCACCCCGATGTGCCCCAGGCAGGGTGTGGCGTTTCCCATTGTCTAGGCAAGGCCAGCAGGTGCATCGTGCATCTGAGTCTCAGGGCGCCTGTCTCTGAAGCAATTCCCTGCTTTTTCTATTTCAATTTGTCCCACTTCATGTGTACACCTTGGCATGCCTGGGTCTCCCGAATGATGTTTCCTCTCCAGTCTAATTGTGTGCATCGTTGTGTGTGTGTCATCTCACTGCTCTGGTTGACCTGCCTTGTGGCCCATGCTGTTCTTTCCCAGTTCCCCTGGGCGCCTGTCAGGCTTGTGTGGGCTGTGTGTGTGTGTGTGTGTGTGTGTGTGTGTGTGTGAGTGTGCGCTGGTGTTGGGTCCTAATATCTCCCCTCCAGGGCCTGGCATATTCTGTGCATGTCTGTCTGCCTGTCGCAGCCAACTGTGCTGGCGGCTGGTCCCTACCAAGGGCCATGGCTTATGTCCAGCCTGTGTGTGTCCCCGAGTCTTTGGCTCTGGGACTCTCAAAGCTTTTGTATTGTAGCGTGTCCAAGCCCCATGCTGCCAGTCCCCATGTCTTCCTTGCTGCCTGCCCCCACCTCTCCTCCTCATGGGATGTTCCAGCCTGGTCCCTGGGCAGGCTGTTAGTGCCCTCTTCCTGAGGCCCAGCTGGACGGAGCCTGGGCTTACCACCCAGCCACTGGGCCAGAGAGCCAGCTTCCCAGGAACAGCATGGAGTCGGGGTGCAGACAGGGCCCTCACGTGGACTGGGCAGATCTGGGGCTTCTTGGTGGCACCGTGTCTTTCTCTGGCCCTGGGTGAGAGCCTTACCAAATGTGCCGTCCTCACAGTGGGAGAAAGGTGGGCACAGGGCTCAAGGGGTTGTCGGCTTGCCCTATTCAAGGGATGGCTGAATTAGTTGAAGTCAAACAAACTTAAAAATTCAGTTCTCTGTTGCACTGACCACATTTAAAATGCTCAGTAGCCATGAGTGGACAGTGTAGATATAGGACATTTCTGTCATCATAGAAAGTTCTACTGACTAGAGCTGTGTGAACAGTGGTCCTGACTTTACCTGGTCCCATGTTCTCAGTGAGCCTGAGCAAACACAGGCGGGGCCACAGGGAGATAGGCACCCCGGGCATGTTTGCAGAGGGCAATGACGGGGAAAGGTGGCCTGGATGCGCCACCCTGGGAGCCTCCCCTCCCAGGCTGAGGCGAGAAGGGATGGAGGGGGCCTCTGGGGAAGGAGGCATGCTCAGAGACCACCATGCAAACAGTGACTGGAGGGCGGGGGATTTTCTGGGGAAGAGGGGGAGTGGGTACACCCGCCAAAATAGCACCCAGAGCAGCAGTCAAGCCAACAGCTTTTGGACAAAGGTGGCGGGGGTGGGTCCTGAGCACTGGCCTCTGGGGAAAACCAGGCCTCCCAGTGGACAAGAGTGTAGGTCCTGCTGGCCCACCGGAGGTGCCAGCTGCTTGAGCCTCAGGGAGGGTCCTGCTGCCACTCAGGCCAGTGGTGCCCAACCCAGCCCACCCCCTGGCCTGTGCTCATTCGGAACCCCCACCCCCAGGTTGCCTACAGGAGGGAAGGCGGTGACCACAGCCCCAGTGCCGGGCCAGACGCCGCATGATGAGTCCGACCGCCGGACTGAGCCACGCTCCTCCGTCTCGGACCTTGTCAACTCCCTCACCAGTGAGATGCTCATGGTGAGCAGGCAGTGGGGAGGCCGGGGGCGCGGAAGGGACACACGTGGCAATTGGTGACAGTGTGGGAAGGGGAACCAGTATGGTGACTAAGTGAGCGAGGCTTGGGCTCTTTTCCCAGCAGTTGCACCAGAACAGCCTCTCTGTGCCTCAGTTTCCTCATTTGTCAAGTGAGAATATGAATGCCCTTCCTCCTCTGGTCTCTTTCCGGGTTGAGCAGGGCCCTAAGAAAACCTGCTCATGTGAGATGTTTTATGATCCTAGAGGGAAAGGCTAGTGGACAGGGGACATGGGGCAGAAGGTGTGCCCTGTCTCCAGGTGGCATCCTGCTGAGTAGAGGTCAGGGAGCAGGTGTCATATCCCCATCCCATGCGCCTCTTCCAGCCCCCATTGCTTGGGGTTAGCTGAGGGGAAGGGCCCTCGGATCAGGGCCCTGGTTCTGACCCCTAACAGGGGACAGCTGTGCTGGGGTTCTCCTGTCCACACCCCACCCTACCGGGACCCCAGCCCAACAGTTATAAGCCTTGTCACCAAGGCAGAAGTTGTGGCTTCATGTGACACCGCCTGGGGGCAGCAGTGAGGCAGCCATTTGCCTGGCCTGTGCTTTCCCCTGCGGGGCAGAGAGCCCCTGGGGGGCAGGTGTGAGGACCACGTAATGGGCAACCAGAGATTTGTAGCCAAAGGTCTGGCAGTTCAGAAACCCGAGGAGGATTTGGGGAGGGTGTGAGGCTGGAACCTCCTGCCTGCTGTGTTCCTACTAGACATGACCTAGTCTAAGTCATTTCCCTTCCTGGACCAGGGTCCCCCCTTCCCCTTCCCCTCCCACCTTCTTTAGAGAGAGGGAAGGAGGTTTCATGGGCTCTCAGATGCCCTCCGTCCTGTCTCAGTTCTGAGTTCCCTTGCCCACAACCCTGGCACAGCCGCCCCCATGCTCCCTGAGGCCCCCAGAGCCTCTGCCCTTTGGAGTTCTGGCCAGCTCTAACCGTCCATCCCCACAGCCCTTTTCTAGCCCAGCACTTCTCGAATTGTAATATGCACACGAAACATGGGGGACCCTGTTAACATGCAGATTCCTAGTCAGCAGGCTGTGGCAGGCCCCAGAGTTCGCACTCCTCTTGGATCCAGGTTAGAGCACCAGGTTTGCCCTGTTCCGGATCTCCCTTGGGCCTCCCTACCCGCGGCCCCCACATGCCTGGCTCCCCACTGCCCCCCTGTCCATCCTCCCCAACCTGTGACCACCTTCCCAGCCATAATCCCCTCTGGACAGGCCCTCCCACAGCTTATCCCACCTCCTTGCACAGCCTCTTAATTGGTTCAGCTTCCCGGTAGCCAGGTTCCCAGAAAGGACGGCCCTTTCCCAGCCAGCCTGCCTGCCCCCTGCTGCCCCCAGGGAGGGGCCAGCAACCTCAGGCAGAGGAAGAAGTACAGGCCCTCTCCAGCTCAGGGGATGCTCAGGGGTGGGCAGGCAGGGTCTAATGCCCAGCTCTGGGCCAACGCCAGGTCACTGGAGTTAATAGAGATGATAGAGATGGTAGGGCAGAAGTAAATCACTGTCGGAGGGCTGTAAAAAGCTGAGGTTCAAGAGACAAGGGTGGGGCACCATAGCTGGCCAGGAGACAGGACTGAGGGGAGGCAGGGCCACACCCCATCTGAGTCACCCTGCCCTGGTATGCACTGCTTCAGATGCTCTCTGATGCTTAGGGGCTCAGGCAGCACCTCCCCCTGCCAGGGTGGGGGTGGCCAGCCCAGTAGCCATGGAAACAGCTCCTCCAGCTGCCCTAGCTGGTTAATTAGGGCTCAGGGCTATGGTTTGGGAAAGCTGGGGGCAGGCACAGAGGTGAAGCGCATCTGGCCCAGTTTGGGCCTTCCACCCCAGACCACCCAGTTTGAGAACCAAGAGTCAAGTGACCAGAGAGACCTCAAGTGGGACTGGGGCCACCAGGAACCCCACCCCAACTACAGAAGGAGTAGGAAGGACAAGGGGTCCTTGCTGACACTGCCTTCTCATGCATGCCCAGGCTCTCAGGCCCATAGCCAGCAGGGCAGGCGCCAGGCTGCAGAGCAAGAACCCCCCTGCAAGATAGGGCTGATGGTTCGGTTCTGTAGGTGCAGAAACTGAGGTCCAGGGGACTGGGGAAGTACGAGCAGAGGGAAGGAGCGCCAGGGGAAAGCTGAATCTGGGGAGGGGGAGCCACATTCTCAGTAAGCTGGGGGTGGGGTCTGCAGGGTGGCCTGGATCAGGCCAAGGGGCCAGGCCAGAGGGACCCTCTTCCACTGTGAGGAAGAGCAGGGAAGGCAGCTCAGTCCCCTGTCCACCTCCAGGGACCAGGGGTATGACTGGTGAAGCTGCAGACACATCTCAGTGACAGGGCAGTTGGAAGGGCCGTCACGGTGGCTGGGCGCTGACCTGGCTTCAAGTTCCTGCTCACCGTTTAGTCACAGGTGCCTTAAGGCAAATTAATAATCTCTAGGTGGCCCGACCCAAACTGGAACACCATAGTGTCTGTCCCATCCAGATGTTGTAAGGAGTAAATGAGGGCAGAGCCCAGAGCCCTGGGCAGGACCTGCCATGTGGTAGTTGCTATTTTTAGTGGGATTTGGATGCTTCCTACCTGGAGCAGGTGAGTCCTCACTGTCTTGAGGGGAAGTCTCAAAATTGCCCTGGGATGTGCACCTGCTTTGGTGGAAAGAGAGGACTTTCAAGTCACAGAGGGTCCATGCTGCTGTGCAATCTTGGACATGTGACTTAACCTCTCTGAGCCAGTCTCCTCAGCTAGAGAGTGGTGATAACTGCTTTGCCCGGCCATTGTCAGGAATCGGTAAGAAGGTGATGTAAGAGTCTTCCGCCATGGTAGGTACACACTATATTCTTATCATCTGTATATTTAACATTTCAGAGCCTGGGCCACTTCTCTAGGAGCAAGGGTCAAGGAGGGGCTCCTGCAGGGGGATGAGGGAAAGGAAACAAGGACCAGCAGTTTCATCTTAAAGGTGGTACCCTGAGTCTCACCCCCTCCTCTGGCTCTCATCCAACCTGAGGAGCTTTTAGACATAGGGATGCCTGGGCTACTTGGACTCCCGGGGTCTGGAGTGCGTCCCAGGTGGGGTCCCAGACAGCTGGGGAATGGGCAAGATTCTAAAACCTCCCCAGGTATTCCCAGTGGGCAGCCACAGCTGAGCAGACTGGCTGGGAGACCCTCCCCGCAGTGACCTTGCGGGAACGGGACCCCACACCACCCCCCCGCGTCTGCTGCTGCTCCACCAACCTAAGGGCCCAGCCCTGGTACGGGGGAGTGAGTGCAGGTGTAGCCCTCCCTCCCAGTGGTCCCCAGCCCCTGGGTGCTGCGCAGTCAGCTGAGGTGCCTTTTAGACACTTCTGCTGCCCAGGTCTAGCCCAGCCCCATCAAATCAGGCTCTTGGGGGCAGGGCCTGAGAATCTGTATTTTTAGTGCCCCTACCTTACACAAATAGACGTTGCTCCTGAGAACTCACCCCTCTCATTTTGTAAATCCCATCATCCTCAGAACCCCAGGGAGTGGCTTTCCACAGAAATATCACGGTAAACTCTTCTGAGATGTGAACAATCTCCCTCCTGTGTTTTGTAGCCCAGGGCTCCCTGTTGGTGTATCTCACCCTGGGCCCCGCAGGCAGGGCTGGGGAAGAGTGAGAAGCTGGGGGAGGGAGCTCAGGATGGAGGGCGTCCAGCACAGTGTGACTGGGCAGCCGTGGTGGTACATGGGGTGGTGGGGGACAGACCCGGATTTCCGGGAGAGGCCTGGGAGTGGGGCACACGCTGCTCTGGGGTTCAGCAGGCGGAGGCTGTCCCGACTCTGCCCCTCCGTCCTGTTTAACCCTGGTCAAGGTTCTCGCCCTCTGCCTGAGCATCACCACCTGCTGTGAATATGGAATGGGTGAAGTGCCAGCCCCACACTGACCAGAGGGGAGTGCAGCTCTCAGCAACTGGGCTGGACTTGGGCACATCTGGGCTGAGGTGGGGGAAGCAGAATCGCCCCCAACCCTGCTGGCCTCTCCCCCACCCCCAGCTCTCCCCAGGCTCGGAGGAGGATGAGGCCCATGAGGGCTGCAGCCGAGAGAACCTGGGCCGGATCCAGTTCAGCGTCGGCTACAATTTCCAGGAGTCCACACTCACTGTGAAGATCATGAAGGCCCAGGAGCTGCCAGCCAAGGACTTCAGCGGCACCAGCGACCCCTTTGTCAAGATCTACCTGCTGCCAGATAAGAAGCACAAGCTGGAGACCAAGGTGAAGCGGAAGAACCTGAATCCCCACTGGAATGAGACCTTCCTCTTTGAAGGTGAGGTTGGTGCCACCCCACCCAGACTGCCCTCTTCTTCTCTACTCTTCTCCCACCCAACTGCACTCTTTCTGCCCCAGGCCCTTTGGGTGTCTGAACCCCACTTAGAGAAGCCCTTACCTTTTCCCAACAGCCAGGTTCAATCAGTGAGAATAAATCCCTATACTGCCTGGTGCCCTGGCTCTCCAGAACCTTCAGTACTTTTCCCAGGGACTCTTCCCTACCTGGTTTCCCAGCCATATGACCCCCAACTCCCCCTGCAATGTGACAGCCAGCTCACCCACTACATAAATGGTTGAGGGTGAGCTGGTGGGTGTTTGTGTGTTTCTGGACCCTCCTTTTCCCCAGATCAGCGTGGGAGCCAGTTTAGAGATGGCACAGCCAGTGAGAAGCCCAGATGCCTGCAAGTATATGTGGCCAGTGGTGGGATGAGGTGTATGGTGAGAACCCTAACCCCCTGGTCCCTTCTGCAAACATTTACCCAGCATCAACAATGGGCTGGGCACTGTCCTGGGTATTGAAGAAAAGAATGAGGTACCATTATGGCCCTCAACACATTCCTGGTCTAACAGAGAACATAAATGTGTAGATAATTAATCTGTATGCTGCATGACAGATGCTGCAGGTACCCAGTATAAGCTCTCCTTGGTACTGCTGAAAAGCATTTCCCATAAGAAAGGCCATTCAAGGTGGGTTCTGACAAATGAATAGAAGTTTGCCAGCTAGGAGACTGCCTCCTGTAGCATTGACGAGAGCTGCCAGGGGCAGGGACTTCTTGCAGCCTCCAACATTTCCAGAACACTTGTCCTCATGCATTTCACCTGAAGAGATGCCAAAGGTTACCTGGGCAGGTCCCTGGGGGACTCCCAAAAGCAGCAAGACACAGCCTCCTCCATATGCGTAAGAGGCCCTAAAGAAATTCCAGGCTGGGGATTCAGAGAACATAGGATTCCCTCCTCCACATACCTGCTGCTGTTGGAGGCAACTCTGGGCTTTGAGTGTCTGGCTGAAGGTACTGGAATCCTCCAGAGCTCTTCCTCTCCCCACAGTGCCATTAAGGTGTGAAGTGTCCTCTCTCCTTCCTGCTCACACCCTCTTTCAGGGTCTTCCCACCTCAGGCCTCCATGCTGACCTGCCCCTCCTGCATCTCGCAGGCTGGCCCCTCCTCTGAGGCTCCTGAGGACCAATGACTCCAGCTGTCGACCCTCCCTCGGCTCCCTAGTACCCCTTCCACCCCATCCAAGCTCCTTGCCCCCGGCTCTCCCTCTGGCCTCATTTCCTGCTCCACCCTGGCACTCTGCTGCTGCTCCATCAGTCCATTTCACTGGCATTTATTCATTTGTTCTACTATTGATTCACTTAACAAATATTTATGGAGTGCCTACTACATGCCAGAAAAGTGTTAGATACTGGTATCTGGTGACTGAAGACGGAGATACCTCCCTGGAAATCCTAGCCTAGTGGAGTCAGACTCCAGGAAACAGATGATCTCCGTTACAGCCTGTGATATGTGCTGCGAAAGGAAGGTGCTAGAGAACAGAATGGGCAGGGAGGGGTCCTACCACATCTGGGATGTCAGGAAAGAAAGCTGAGGGCTGAAGGAGGAGGGAAGGCCAGGACAGCGCATGGTGGGGACCAGCCTGTGCCCCCCAACTCAGGAAAAACTGGCGTGCTGACAGGCAGGAGGCCAGTGTGGCCAGAGCCCAGTCCTTGAGTGGAGAGTGGTCACAAGACGAGCCAGAAGAGGACAGCGGGCCAAGTTGTGGAAGGACTTAAAGCCCAGGCAGGGCACACAGCTTTTATTCTAAGTGCACTGAGAGCTATGAAAGGCTCTAAGCAGGAGAGTATCATGATGTGATTGCTATTTTTAAGAGCTCACTTTGGCTGCTGTGTTGAGAACCTAGGAGAAAGTGGGCATGTGGGGAGGGTGGTTTGGAAGCTCTTGTGACTGTCTAGGCAAGAGGTGCTGGTGGTTTGGATGACGGAGGTGGCAGGGAGAAGGGGACAGAGGCAGGAACTGCTGAAGGACTGAAAGACAGGCTGACGCATTGGAGGGAGGTAAAGCAGAAGCCGAGTCCTAGGACCCTATTTCTGTGCCTTTGCCATTTCCGCCACCCTCCCTGAATCCTCCTGGGGCTTGCTTTCTGGCAGCCGTGGCCATCGTGGGCAGGGCCACGTACCCAGACGTGCCTCAGGATGGCTGGCAGTAGCAGGGCTGCCCAGAGAGAAGGGGGCCACTGCCCAGCCCTTGAGCCAAACACATGACGAATGAGTGCACGGATGGTCCCGGTTCTGCTCTTTTTTAGCTGTGGGACTCTGGCAAGTAATTTAAGCCATATGAGCCTCCGTCTCCTCACCTGTAAAATGGTCAGGATACTATCCACCCCAGAGAATTGGTAGGGACGAACTAGGCAATGACCATTCTTGCTAATGCTTCCAGAAGATCTGAATGCAGGTGTTGCCCGCTGTGCTTAGGTGGGGTGGCAGCAGGAAGGCCCTGGCAGCTTCCTCCTCCTGGGGCCTTCCTGCCCAGGCCCTGCACCCTTCTGTCCCAGTCTTCACCCATGCTCTCTGTCCCCCAGGTTTCCCCTACGAGAAGGTGGTGCAGAGGGTCCTCTACCTCCAGGTCCTGGACTACGACCGCTTCAGCCGCAATGACCCCATCGGGGAGGTGTCCATCCCCCTCAACAAGGTGGACCTGACCCAGATGCAGACCTTCTGGAAGGATCTGAAGCCATGCAGCGATGGGAGTGTAAGGCCCCTGGCTGGGGGCTGGCGGATCAGGGCTGGCAGATCTGGTCCTAGCGCCCCTCAACCTTATGAACATCAGGAGTGGGGTTAAGGGGTACAGGCGCGTGGCCGAGGGAGCAGAGTCCCCATCAGCCCTCTTGGCTGTGGTACACGGCACCTGGGGAGGTTCACCTGAGCTGTGATAATGAACTCGGGGCTCTGTTCACAGAGCAGGAGCCCCATAGAGGGCCGTGTGCAGACCTACCAGATGGGGGGACCAAGCGTGACAGAGGTGACAGAGAGGGCTCGAGGGCACCCAGGTCAGGGTGGAGGGCCTGGGGCAGGGGTTCTCTAACCGTTCCCTCTCCCCAAGTCCCTATACCTCTCCCCACACTCAGCATCACCCCCATCTTGTCTCCCCAGGGGAGCCGAGGGGAGCTGCTCTTGTCTCTCTGTTACAACCCCTCTGCCAACTCCATCATCGTGAACATCATCAAAGCCCGGAACCTCAAAGCCATGGACATCGGGGGCACCTCAGGTGCTGGGGCTCCTCGAGGCAGAGGGTGGGCAGGCGGGGGACGCCCTGGTGTGCAGGGTTGTGCTGGCTGTGGGGAGTGGGTCTGCACTGTGGCGCTCACCTCTGACCCCTGTGCCCCACCCCAGTCCCAACTCCCCTTGCCTAGAGCCTGGGGTGGCCCCTGTGGAGCACCCTCAGGGTCAGCATCACCCTGGACTGTGTCCTCCCCGGAGTCAGGAGGAAAGGGGATGCGGCGGGGGAGGCCTGGGTTCCGGCCCTGCCGAGGCACTTCTTCTTCACAGCCTCGGGCAAGGCCTGGCGCCCCTGGTTTCCTCAGGCGTGGTCACAGGGGCCACAGGGTGACAGCTAAGGCCCTCGCCCACTCCTTTATCCTCTGATCCCCGCCATCCCCCTTATTCTTCTTGGGGCTTTCCTCACCTTCTGGGGAAAGCATACAGCCCCTCCTGCCCTAGCTTCCACACCTGGAAGGAGAAGGGGACCCCGGGGACCCCCTCCACCACCCCTGACCCTTCCCCTTCACATCCCCTAGACCCCTATGTGAAGGTGTGGCTCATGTACAAAGACAAGCGGGTGGAGAAGAAGAAGACAGTGACCATGAAGAGGAACCTGAACCCCATCTTCAACGAGTCCTTTGCCTTTGACATCCCCACGGAGAAGCTGAGGGAAACGACCATCATCATCACTGTTATGGACAAGGACAAGCTCAGCCGCAACGATGTCATCGGCAAGGTAGGCGGCGAGGCAGCCGGGGTGGCACACACAGCTGGTGCCCGGCAAGGGTCGGTCCTCCAAAGCAGCGGTGGGGATAGTAGGCGAGCGCAGGGCTGGACAGTGGGAGAGAGAAGGCCCCTCCCTGGGCCCCTGTTTCATCTGAAAATGAGGGGATTAGACAAAATCCTACTGTGCGTCTGTTAGCTCAGGACAGGCCATTGGAAGGGCAAGGAAAGAAGTAGGAGAAAGAAGTACTCTGTATACCCAAAAGAGGGTTTTCTGGACAGGACCCTCACCCAGGATAAGGAGCAATCCTACCCATCATGAGGGGGTGAGCTGTAGCCAGATTCCAAAGACCCGGCTTGGGTCCCACCTCCTCTGCTGAATCGCTGTGTGACCGTGGGCAAGCCACCTCGCCACTCTGAGCTTCTGTGTCCTCATTTGTGAAATGGAGCTACTAGTACTGACCCTACAGCACTTTGCAGGATGGTGTGCAAACTGCTTGAGACACGTGCATGTTTCCTTGTAGAAAGTGACTTCTTCTCATCATGTCAACCAAAAAACCCCTACCTGGCCTTGAGTTTTTCCAGGATGTGATTCTGTGACATAAACCCTTCCATTTTTCTACTTTGAAATGTCTATTCCTGTGTTGGTTTATGGTTTAGTGCTGAGAGTGTGGGCTTGGGAGTCAGGCTGCCTGGGCCTGGTCCCAGCCCCACTACTGAACGGCTGTAGCCTTTCTGAGCCTCAGTTCCTCCTCTCAAAATGAAAATAAGACAATCCTAACCTCACAGTTTGCTGGAAAGATTAAATAAGTAACACAGATGAGTTCCTTCACACAGTACTTGGAACATACATGTTCACTACTGTTATAGTAAAAGTTATTTTTTAAACATTTCTACTAAGGGCGGGTGTGTCCATTCAGGCATGGAGGTTTGATCAGGAACAGCGCAGGAAGCCAATAATCAGGGAAAAGGTAGATGCCAGGAGGCAGCAAGGGGAAACATGGGTCATCCAGGGGATGCTCCTGTGTGGGGGAAACAGAAAAGGGTGACCTGGGCCCTACAGGGAAGGGCACCAATGTGGGGACATCCCTCAGACGGATGGGATTGCAGAACTTAGCTATGGCAGTGAGGGCAGTACTGGCCTCAAAGCAGAGTGCTGGCCTTGCCTGCCATCTAATGAGGCCCAGGTAGCATGACTGGCCACGTTGTGGTCACTGGTGGGACAATTTCCCGGAATAATGTCACCCACACCCTAGTGGGACTGTGTAGTTCAGGGCCTACTGAGCCTCCTTGACTAGCTGAGGCCAAGGACCGAGGAACCATATTACTTCTAAGCTCTTTTGAAGCTTAGCCTTTCTGAGTTGGGTGTTCTTTGGGTACCAATTGTAGCTCCTTTTGAAACAGTTCTTCTGTTCCTACCTTCTGTTGACTGAACAGGTGGCTGGGCGACTTAGAGAGCACCATGCTCTTAACCAGCCACCAGTCACAAGGCCAGCTGGGGGACACGCACACAGACTCCTCTCACACCCTGAGGCTGTAGGGCCCCTAACAGAGAGGCTGGCAGGATAGAGCTAGTAGTGTAGAGCCAAAAACACCTAGATTTAAATCCTGAGATTAAATCCTAGATTTAAATCCACTTATAAATACTGTGACTATGGGTAGGTCTCTTAACTTTCTACACCATAGTCTCTCCAGCTGTAAAATGGGGATAATATGTCTGCCTCACAGGTAAGGATTCAAAGGTCTGTGTATCTAAATCTCACTGCCTGGTGCATTGAAGGTCCTGGAGGTCGGAGCAATTATAAAGAGAGAGAGACAGGGCTCAAGCAGGCCTGGCATCTAATTGGGAAGGGCCAGCAATGCCCAGGCTCCCAGGTGGAGGCACGGCAAGGAACACGGGTCAGGCTGTCAGGGAGGAGGGATGGAGGGGCCCCCTCCGAGGCAGGTTGTCATGAGGTGGAGGCCCCTGGGCCCCCGTGACCGTGATCGCAGGGTGTCACTGACGGGACAGTGTGAAGCCCTGGCGGGGGGAGGGGGCAGTGTCTGGCAAAGCACCCCTGATGCCATCCTCTCCCCTCTCTCCCCAGATCTACCTGTCCTGGAAGAGCGGGCCTGGAGAAGTGAAACATTGGAAGGACATGATTGCCCGGCCCCGGCAGCCTGTGGCCCAGTGGCACCAGCTGAAGGCCTGAGTGGGGCCAAGGGAGGCCCAGGGGACCGAGGGCTCTGGTCCCCATCATGCCCTCCCCACTTTATGCACAGGCCCAGCCTGGCTCCTCTGCCATGGTGAGGGAGGGCCCTGAGGGCTAGACCAGGGAGGGGTCCCAGGAACCCATTGGGCCCCATTTCTAGGAAGCACCAACCCCATCCCCCAACAGTCCAGCTCTGGGGGAGGGGCTCTGGGAGCCATTTTCCTGCTTTGTCCCTTTCCTTCCTGACTTGCTGATACTAAAGAAGTGGAGGGAGAGTGTAAGGGCCAGACAGGCAGACGGGCAGACCCCTCCAGAGGCCCGCCAGGTGGGCACAGTCCCCCGTTTTCTTTATGGTGGTGCCTGGAGTGGAGAGATGCTGCTCCCCTCACAGTCCCCATGTGGGCCCAGGAGAGGGGAGACCAAGGCGTTTGGCCTCGGCCTGGTCAGGAGAGGCCTGTCCCAGGACAGTTTCAGGTGCCGGCTGGGCCCTGAATGCTGAGGATAGTATATAGCCCGCTCCAAGGTCCTGGAGCCACAGCCCTGTGTACTTGTGTTGTGTCCACTGTGTGCGTGCGTGTGCATGTGTGTACGGGGATGGGGTGCTCATCCCCCTGGGGTCAGCAGTGCTGAGGATTATGCGGAGGGCACAGAGTTTCGTGAATGAGGCAGGGCAGTAGGCTGGGAGCGGAGAGGCATGTGAGGAGTGGGGTAGGAAAGAGGGGCAGATGCCGTAGCTGGGCTAAGAACCAGGGGCCTCCTGCCCCCCACCTCCTCCCCACCCCCACCGTGCTCCCCTCTGCTCAGAGTTATCCAGAAGCTGCTTGCCAGCGCCTTCATCTCTTGAACATCATTTCACAACTGTTAGGCTCCTACTGAATGCATCACGTTCTATCAGGACTCACCTCCTTTCTTTCTCAGGGGGTCCCAAGCCCCCACTAGCTCTCTTCCCTAACACCCTCATCCAGAGACAGTCTCAGCCTTCCCAGATCTCATAAACCAGTCAAGCCAGCAACGTCCTCCATGCCTTCCAGCCTCCTTCCCTCCTTATCATCGCCCCATCCGTGCAGACCCCCCCACACTGCACTCACCACCCCTCCATCCCCCATGCTCACAGGCCCTCCCTCCAGTTCCCTGTCTGGGTCTCCAGTCCTCTCCAGGACGGTCTTCTCACCTTTCCCACCGCTTATGGTCCCTCAGAGCAGTTCCTGCCCCTCTCGGTTTAGGTTAGAAAGCAGGGAAAATTACAGGATTCTGTGGGTTTGAGGTTGCCCCACACAAAGAAGCTATGGTTTCTCTGCCTCAGCTGCTGCAGAGACTCCAACTGTCTTCCCTTAGAGACAGAATATTTCAGTATGAGCCCTGCTTAAGCCTGATCATCCCCAGGTGGGTCCTGGTATTGATACAAGACAGCTGGTGAGTGACAGCCTGGAATCCAGTGGTCCGTGAGCTTGGGCCTGACATTCCGACACACACCGCCAGGTGGCGCCAGGACACCACAGTCTGACCATCCGTGCAGACCCCCCCACACTGCACTCACCACCCCTCCATCCCCCATGCTCACAGGCCCTCCCTCCAGTTCCCTGTCTGGGTCTCCAGTCCTCTCCAGGACGGTCTTCTCACCTTTCCCACCGCTTATGGTCCCTCAGAGCAGTTCCTGCCCCTCTCGGTTTAGGTTAGAAAGCAGGGAAAATTACAGGATTCTGTGGGTTTGAGGTTGCCCCACACAAAGAAGCTATGGTTTCTCTGCCTCAGCTGCTGCAGAGACTCCAACTGTCTTCCCTTAGCCCTGCTTAAGCCTGATCATCCCCAGGTGGGTCCTGGTATTGATACAAGACAGCTGGTGAGTGACAGCCTGGAATCCAGTGGTCCGTGAGCTTGGGCCTGACATTCCGACACACACCGCCAGGTGGCGCCAGGACACCACAGTCTGTGGCCGGGGGTCTGGGACGGCGGTTCTACCCCCAGATGGGACGGGCACTTCAGGAAAGGAGACTGGACAGGATCCCCGCTTAGAGAGCACGGCAAAAGTATAAGCATTTGAGAACCATTTTCCTTCAGTAAGCTTCCCCTGAGCTGAGCATTCTGCTCTATGCAGGAGATGGGTCACGTTTTTGCTCATATCAAATTTTCTTACATTGAATCTCACGCCCCCGCCCCCGCCCCCACCCCCAGGACCTGGAGGAATACCAAAGCAGGTGAATCATTTTGTAGACTGAAGAGTGCTCACGTAAAGCAGTCACCCACATCCCTTGTAAATCCCAATTTTTCCATATTGTAACTTGACTTAAAACGGGGGTCTGCCCCAACTGCCCCGTCCTTATTGGGCGGTCCGGGGACCAGCCCCCAGCGGGGACAGGAGGGCAGCGACTCTGGAGCCTGCGTGGAATCGAAGACAGTGCTGTCAGAAGCCTTGAGAGGCGGAGGCGATCTGTCACTTAGGATCCTGCGCCCCTCCACCCCGCGGGGCGACCACCTCGCCAGGCCTGCTAGCTTGCTGTGGAGCCCCTGGGGAACTGAACCAAAGCGCACTGAGTGGGCGGGGCTACTGCGTCCCCTTTTCCGAGCCCCGCCCGCGGAGCTCTTGGCCATTCATATGCAGACAGCACCTCTGGGCGGAGTCTGTTCCCAATCTGACCCTACCCAGACACCTTGGTGAGCCCGGCCTGGGGTTCCCCAGCACCAAGACGCGCAAGCTGGGACGTTGGGGACAGGCGAGAAGCGGTGGGCCGAGGGCCGGGTGGCTAGCACTGAGGAGGTGGGTGGTATGGGGTGAGGGCGGGGACGGTCTAGGATACAGGAGAACAGGGAAGGGGGGAACTTAAGGGTGGGAGCAGGGCACCTGGAGCCCTGCCACCGTCTCAGGACTTCGGGCAAATCACCCACACTCCCGGGGCCTCAGTTTCCCTATCTGTAAATTGATGGTAACAATACTTCACCTACCTCATCAGGGAGGTTGTGAGGCCACTTTCACCTGACCTGGGGGTGCTACCCTGAGCAAAGTATTATCCCACTGTAGCCTGAAAACACGCCCATCTGCCCCTCCCATTGCACAGCCTCCAGGGATGGCTGAGGCTGGCCTGGGCCCATCTATCTCTTCTCCACTGTGTCCCAGGTTCCTCCATGAGCGTCACCTGCCATCTTTGTGGGCGCCCTAGACTTAGTCCTTATTTTGTTCTAGTATCCTTTCTTGTGACCATCTCTCCATGTAACTGCTGTACAAATTCCACCTGCCCCAGGACCCCCAAACCTGCCCCACCTGCCCTGGTGCCACTTGCCAGGGAAGGGACAAGGAAAACAGCCACATAAAAAGCCAAGGGAGGCCCCCAGAGCCCCCAGTCCAGCTGGGGCCCTAGGAGTGGGGCTGGTGGCCGCTGTCTGTATTGTGTTTGAGTTCTTGAGTACACTTGTTTTATAAAAAAAGAAAACCCACTTTCACACACACATACAAAAAAAAAATGCAATGAAGACAAATGCAGAAAAGCTGAAGAAAAAAAAGGAAAAAGAACCATACAAAATTTTTCCACCACATGCACCCTCTAAGCCAGCAAGATTTCCTCTTTGCAAAATCATATTTTTGTGGGAATGGGCCCTGCTTTTTGTGGCAAGGCCTGTTCTGATTAATAAAGGATCGTGAAAAAGTAGGGCCTTGGCTGTTTCCTCTGTGGGTCCCGGCCCTCCCTCACTAACCAGGGGAAGAGGTAGTGGGATGAGGTGGGTGGGGAGCCTGGGGCTGAGTGTCCCCTAGTCGCTGTTAGGATCTGGCTTCACTGGTGGTGAGGCCCTCCCAAGCTCCCAGCCCATCCTCACATCTAGAATATAAACCCACCAGTTGCCTCAAAGCAGGGGAGCAACACCTCCTCCCAGATCAGGCCTGAAGCAAGGCTTGCTGGGAGTAGAGTCTCCTTGAGTCCTGAAGGGGTGCTTCTCTAGGCCCACCCAGGCCGACATTCCCTCCTTCAGTTCCCAGGGGACTCCCATTACCCTCTAAGGCAGGTCAGAGGAACCAAAGAGGGACCCTCCACCCTCCCACCACCTCCTGAACTCTGGCCGGGCCACTGTGGTTTCAGGCCAGGATTTCCTTGCTGCTCCCTACAGAGATAAGGAAAGAACTCAGTATCTGTTGGCTGGACCTGTGGCTTCTCTCCACCTTTCTCTGGTTTCCTCTTTAGGATTGGAGAAGTCTCTCCAACTCTAAAGGGCCATGGCCAGTCCCAGCCTGAGAGAACTGAGCCCCAGTGTCTTCTCACTCAGTTACTGTGCCTCTGACAAGCTACTTCCTCCCTCCCGGTCTGTTTCATTGGTCCGCCAAAGAGCAATACCATCCCAGCCCCTCTCTGCCCTCTCATACAACAGCCTGCAAAGCTGAGGTCTGGCTGCTCTCAGAGTGCCGCAGAAGGAAGGTGCTACATCTGTCACAGGCACGGAAGGAATGAGCCGACCCCCTCGTGGTCACGTGGCCCCCACTCTGGAGTGCAGGGGCCACCGTGCTCCTGCTCCCAGCTCCTGGATGGGCAGCTGCTTCCTCACCTGCGCTAGTACCCCCACCTGAAGCTGCCTGCCCTGCCCCTTTCTGCCCCATCAATTTCTCAAAACCTGCCTAAGTGTCCTATGAAAAGGCTTTTGGCTTCTGAGCTCTGTTCCAGAGATTGGAGGGGGCCCTCAGGTCAGGTAAGTAGCCTCAAAAGCACCCCTTACCAGAACTTCTGTGCAGGCTCTTTCTGGGAAAACAGCTCTGGAAAACTGGGCCTGAAAGCAGGGACAGCTTGGCCCGACAGGTGGCATCCCCTTGTCATGGGTTCCGGTCTCCTCCTGAACTTGTCACCTCCTCTGCCTTTGCTTCCTTGGGTCTGTCTGTCCATGCCTGCATCAAGAGATTCGCCCAGCCCTCCGTGTGCTGAGACGGCTGTCCTCTGGTGTTTTTTTCCTACAAGTTCCTGCTGGATTTCCCTGCTTTCTGTAAAGCCATCCTGGGCTACATCCCACTTTCCTCTCCTTCCCCCACCAAGTCAGCCAGAAGGGCAGCACTTAAGCACGCTGTATGCCCCAGCCCGGGGCTCCCCTCACCCTCTGTGTCCCTTGAAGATGCCTCCTCCCTGTGTTTGTGTCCTGTGTGTATGTGTTGTGTCTCGTTTAGATTGTGAGCCCCCTGGGCAGGGATCCCTGTCTGAATATGTGTTCTATGTGGCACACCCAGGTGTGCTAATAAATGTCCATCCTCAGAACAAGAGTGCGCAGGTGTCTTAAGGAAGTTTTGGGTCAGAGGGCTGAGCAAGCCCATGTGGTGGCACCGGAAGCAGGGAGGTGCTTCTGGGCAGGATCTCCAGTTCCCAAGTCCTGAGGGTGGGCAGGAAGAGGGGAATGGCAGTAACAAAGCTAGGAAAAGACCCAGCTCCCAATGCCACCCTCATCTCTGCTGCTCTGCCATCCAGGAGGCCCCAGAGGGCAGGAAGAGCAGGCTACAGTTCCCACCCATTCCGCACCTAGACCTGCCAGCCCAGGACGGAGCGGATCTCCCATGGTGTGGATCCGACACAGGTTAGGAGGCCTAAGACCCATTTATGGGCAAGTGTCTTCCCTGCGCCTGTCCCTTGCCCTGCCATCACCTCTGCTCATTTGTTCTCACAGTCCCCACTGCCTGCCTTCCTGCTCTGATCGCTGACTTTCTTGGCTCTGCCCTGCATCCCTGGCACAAACAGCTATTCCAGAGCTTTCCTGCCCTGTTTCCTCAGACTCAGTGGCCTGCCCACTGCTGACTGCCCTGAGGATAACGTGGGGGGAAGAGAGACATGGCAAGTGGTTCATGTCACAAGTGCCCCTCCAAAATTTATCTCCCCTTCTCCCTGTTCCCCCGAGGCCCATTGAGAAGTCACAGGTGTTAGGAGGGGGCAGGCTAGGACTCCCCGTGCTGTACTATCTCCATCACCAAGGGGAGCCGACGCCCGGTTGTCCCTAGCAACAGCCCCCTTCTTACCCTGGTGTCCCCCTCTCTACGTGGAGGCAGAGACCCTCAATAGTGCTCTCAAGCCTGGCATTAACACCTGCTTTAACCAAACTTTAGCTTCCCAGGAGGAACTGGCTCCTGATGGTGGGGTGAGCAGCAAAGCCAGAGACCAGGCCCTGACAAATTTCTCTTCTCTTTCCCTGGGGAAAAGCAGCCTCCGCAGCCCTGCTTGTCTGGTGAACAACCATGGAGAAAGATGCCATTTTGACAGCAAAAGGCAGGGCCCTGTGTGCTCTGGGATGGCCTTGGGGGACTCATCGCAGGCCTTTGCCCCCACCTAGAGTTCCCAAGCAAGTGCAGCAGGGGAAGAGGTACAGGGAGACAGACCAGAGAGAGTCAGGGAATCTGAGCTCCTAGTGCCAGCAGTTATTCCAGGGTGACTGTGGCTCCACCTGCACCCTAACCTCCCTGTCTTAAGATTTGCACAAAGGGAAGGTAGACAAACCCCAGGTTATGTGCAAGACTGAAATGTGTCATCATATCTAAATAAACACAATTCATTGTGTGAGATGGAGAAACTGAGGCCAGGGTGGGGATGCGGGGGGTGGGCAGGACTTGCTCAAAGTCACTCAGTCAATAACAGAACTAGGACTGGAACCCATGCCTGCTGATCCCAGGCCCAGAGCTATTTCCCCTGTGCCATGATACGAATCACAGGTCAGAGGACAGTGTCTGGTCAACTGCAGCTCCTATCCTACCTGAGTAATATGAGATCTCAGATTCCTTCCTCCAAGTTTCCAGACCCCAGGAAGGCCCACTGGCCCTGATGGAGCCTCAACAATGGTGAGCACGGGCACCCTCGGAGCCCTGGGAGGGATCAGGTCTGCAGCCAAGCCCCAGACCCCTCTTCCTCCTGGAGATGGAGGCAGTCTCCCATCTTCCCTACCCACCAGTTCTTTCTGTCTATTCAAGGCTTTCTCTCACTTGCAAGCTGACTGATGGCCCCAGATTCACCCAGCCTCCTCCTAACTCAGGCCCAGCTCAGGGGCCAACAGAGCTGCCCAGCTGTGCCTGACCTTGGAGCCTTGTATGACATCAGCCCAGTTGCCATGGTGATGGATGCTTGAGGTTTTATAATTTTCTTCCTTTTTAAAAAAATCTTAAAATTTTTTTCTCTGAACAATAAGAGGAGAAAGTAATACCATGGCTGAGTAAAAAAAAAACTAAGAGAGAAAGAGACAGTGAAAGAGGAAATGGAGTGAGTGACATGGAAGGAAGGAAGAATAGGGGCACAGAGGGGGAGGAGGGAGCCAGTATAGTGAAAGAGTAAAGGTCAGCCCAGCTTGAGGGAGATTCAAAGTCATTTTAAGAGTCAGCAACCTGGGAATTAAGCTGGAGAAGACTGAGGAAAGGGTGTATGGGTTGGGGGCGGGGTGCCTAGCAGGCAGAGTAAGCTACAGCAAGACAAACCAGCTGTGAGTAGTCAAAGCCATCTGTGACCAAGGACAGGCACTTGTTCCCCAGACAGGACGTAACAGTTGGCTGGGGACAGCCTGACGCAGAACTGGGGCACATGGACAGAGGGCAGTGCCACAGGGAGCCAGGTTCCCCACAGCGATGGGACCTGGTACTTCCAGTACTTATAAATAAACAGGCATGTGGGAAACGCACATTCTTTCTCCAAGAAATATAATTTATGTTTTCAGCCAGTTTTTTTCTCCCTAAAGAAAACACTACCATGTGGGGCTGCTGCCCCTGACAGTGTCCCTGAGTGTCCCCAGCCCTGGCCCTGTCCTCCCATTATTGCTTGAGTGGGAAAGATCTGGCCCTGGGAATTGCACAGTGAGGCCCCACTCCTCAGCCCCTTGAGGCTGTCCCTGGTGACGAGCGGAGGCACACAGTGCTCGTCCCATGCCCCATGCCGTGCCAGCCACACTGACTGTGCCCATTTAAGGGAATGGAGAGTACAGGCAGTGGGAGAGGCTCTGGAGCAGGCTCCCAGAGCAGAGAGCCTCTCTCTGTGCAGGAGGCCCTAGAGGCACAGTGGCTTCTTTTCAACTTGACAGCTGGAAGGCTCAGGCTGTGGAGAAGGGAGGAAGAGCTCTCTGCTCCCAGCAAGATTCCAGGCCCAAGCTGGGAGAGTGGAAGAGAATAAAAGGCAGGGGTGGAGACCCTGCCTTCTGAGCCTCCCTTCCCCATAAAAATTTTAGGGGGCCTGGGAAGGGAGGTGTGTACGATGAGCCCCGGTGGAGGGGCAAGAGCAACTGTGGTGTTAGGGCCCCTATCCCAGTTTCCCATTCCTGTCCTGGGCACCAGCCCCAACTTCAAGCCCCTGCCCCTGGCCCAGGCCCTCTCCCAAGCGTACTTCTGCCTCACAAAGGCGTGCAGTCCACCCAGAGGTAGTGGCTTCTGCACCAGAAAGGGTGGGTCCAGGAGTTCCAAAGTCCAGGAGGAAGGAGGCTGGTGGTCACCCAGACTCAGCCAGAGGTGATGATTCCACAGACAACGGTGATCCTGGTGCTGGGAGGAAGCTGACACCTCTACTGTGTTGTCAGTGACTCTGTCAGAGACTAGTTGGACCTGTAAGGGGACTGGAGGGAGCGGAGACTTCTTGGTCTTAGAACTGCCCAGAGATCAGCCAGGAGGCAGTCATCTTACTACCCTGGAATATCTGAAGATAGTCCCCGGGCCTGCCGGTCCCCCACAGCTCACTCAAAGAAGCCTCTCCGCTGCCCCAAGTAGGGGCCCACAGCTCCCACAGACCCTCCCAGAGCTCCTCCTCCCAGAGTGGCGGAAGTCCATCACCCAGAGCACAGGCTCAGGTGCCCAGTCCTGGAGCGGCTTCCAGGGCTCGGAGGCTGCCCTCGGGGGGCCCCAGAGCCCGGGAGACCCCGCCCCCTATGAGCAGGTCTTCCTCCTCCTCGTCGTCGAAGGCCCGCGCTGGGCACCGAGGCCGCGGCCGAGGCGTGGGCTCGTCGCGCTCGGCCATGCGTTCGACTGCGCCCTCGCCCACGAGGAAGACGGTGTCCGCGACGCGCGGTGGCCCGGTGACCGGGTTGTGATCGTAGGAGAAGACGCGCAGGGCGCGAAGCGGGTGCAGGTCGGGGAAGCCGCCCAGGTGGTTGCGGTCAAGGTCGAGGATGTGCAGGCGGCCCATGCGCAGCAGCGCGGGGGGAAACTCCTCGAAGCGGTTGCCGTAGAGCCAGAGGCCACGCAGGCCCGTCATGCGCGGCAGCTCGGCGGGCAGCGCGCGCAGCCGATTGTCGCCCATCTGCAGGGACTGCAGCGCCACTAGGCGCAGCAGCGGCCGCGGGAAGCGCCGCAGGAAGTTGCCCTCGATCCAAAGGCAGCGCAGGCTCTGCAGCTGCGCGAACTCGGCGGGCAGAGCCAGCAGCCGGTTGCCACCCAGGTAGAGGCGCGTGAGGCGCGGCAGGCGACACAGGCCGTCAGGCAAGCGTTCGAGTTTGTTGAAGTCCAGAGCCAGGATGCGCAGCTCGCGCAGCTCCTCGATCTCCTCCGGCAGCTCGCGCAGCCCGGTGCCGCTCACGTACAGCTTCTGCAGGCGGCTCAGCGCGCACACGGCGCTGGGCAGCCGCCGCAGCCGCCTCCCGCTCAGCTCCAGCTGCTGCTCGCCGCCGCGCAGCTGCTCCTCCGCGTCCGACGGCAGCTCGTCTGGCGTGGACTCGGCGATGCCCATGGTCACGGGCCCCGGCCGGGGCCGGCGCCGCCGCCGCCAACGCGGGCAGACATCTCTGCGCCCCGCAGCCTCCCCGACGGGGCCGAGGCTGTGCCGACTCCGGGGCCCCCCGCCCCGGCCTGCCCCTGCGCCGGGAGGGGGGCCGTGCAGGGCCGGGAGGAGGCGCCCGCTTGGAGCCCCGCCGCCGCGCGCCGTTCTCCGCCGCCCGCCCTCGGGCCTCCCCCGCTCCCTCCGCCGGAGGCCGACTGGCTTAGGTTCGCGCTGACTCTCAGCTCAGCGACCCGTCGCCCTGGCAACCCCCGACGCGCGTGCGGCTGCCAATGAGACGGAGGGAGGGCGGGGTGGGGCGGGGCCAAGGTGCCACCAGAGCCTGGTCCTGGCACCCTTGCCCGACACCCGTCGGCGCTTCCGGGAGCCAGCGCTCGCCAAGGGAACCCAAGGTCGACGCCCCGCAAGCCTGGCACTATGCCAACACAGCCCCGACGTCCGATGCTGTCTACACCTCCAGACACAGCAAACTGCTTGTTGCGGAGTTGTGCGCGTCCAGAGAGGCATGTCCCGGAAGGACCCAAGGATCGAGGAAACGCCGGAGTGGGACCCAGAACTCTGGACTGCGGCTTTCGAGGAGGAACTGAAGAGCAAGATCACTGCCAGCTATTCAGGTCCAGCGGCTTGCCAGTCTCCCTGCGGGGGTCACTTTAGGATAGTAACGCGGAACGGTATTACTTTCTGGTCCTTTCCAGAGTATCAGAGGATTTGCAGGGACTCAGGGGTTGGCTCCGTCCCTCTCCCCGCCCCGGATACCCCCATTGCCCAAACAAATCCCCCGTTAATGCACTCACGCCCCTATCTCCTGCCATGTCTCCCCAGCTGCGCTCAAGGTCTCGCGTAGCTGCCGTGGACAGAAGAGTGGGACAAGTGAGCCGCCTTTGAGCTCCGCCAACGCCCGCTCCCATCGTGTAACTCCTCCTGCGCATGCTCCCACAAACAGGCTGGCGCCGCCGCCTTCTCCGCTCCCATTCAGAGTCCTGCCAGACTCCTGGCAGAAACACTCGCTCCCATTTATTGTGCGCCTGCCACGTGCCCAGCACTCTGCTGACAGCGTGGCACTGAATCTTTGCAACACGCCTATGAGGTAGGTAACCCTCGTTACCCCAGTCTTAAAGGGGGAGAAACTTAGGCTCTGAGAGGTTTGACTTGAGCTGGGTGACTTGCCCAACGTCACCTGGTTGTGAGTAGCTGGAATGTGAACCCAGGCAGTCTGCTCTTAACCGTACCACGCCAATAAATAGAAATGATGATGACGCCACCTCTCGCAATGAATTCCCTCACAACGCAGTCACTAACTCTAAGGCTAAAACTTTCAAGTAAGCATTATTAATACCACATCAAAGATGAGGGAAGTAGCCCCGGAGCGATTAGGCAACTTGCTTAAGGTTACACAGTGAGTAGGATTACAGCCAAGCAGCTGGGTCTGCGGACTCAAAGCCTTTTCCGTGGTGCTTTCCCTTGAAAGTAGCTGGTGTGACAACGTAACTGGCTGTACAGACAGACCTCTGGGCAGCAGCCAGCCCTCTGCCCCCCACACTCCCGGCCCCAGCTGGGCAGCCGCCGCAGCCGCCTCCCGCTCAGCTCCAGCTGCTGCTCGCCGCCGCGCAGCTGCTCCTCCGCGTCCGACGGCAGCTCGTCTGGCGTGGACTCGGCGATGCCCATGGTCACGGGCCCCGGCCGGGGCCGGCGCCGCCGCCGCCAACGCGGGCAGACATCTCTGCGCCCCGCAGCCTCCCCGACGGGGCCGAGGCTGTGCCGACTCCGGGGCCCCCCGCCCCGGCCTGCCCCTGCGCCGGGAGGGGGGCCGTGCAGGGCCGGGAGGAGGCGCCCGCTTGGAGCCCCGCCGCCGCGCGCCGTTCTCCGCCGCCCGCCCTCGGGCCTCCCCCGCTCCCTCCGCCGGAGGCCGACTGGCTTAGGTTCGCGCTGACTCTCAGCTCAGCGACCCGTCGCCCTGGCAACCCCCGACGCGCGTGCGGCTGCCAATGAGACGGAGGGAGGGCGGGGTGGGGCGGGGCCAAGGTGCCACCAGAGCCTGGTCCTGGCACCCTTGCCCGACACCCGTCGGCGCTTCCGGGAGCCAGCGCTCGCCAAGGGAACCCAAGGTCGACGCCCCGCAAGCCTGGCACTATGCCAACACAGCCCCGACGTCCGATGCTGTCTACACCTCCAGACACAGCAAACTGCTTGTTGCGGAGTTGTGCGCGTCCAGAGAGGCATGTCCCGGAAGGACCCAAGGATCGAGGAAACGCCGGAGTGGGACCCAGAACTCTGGACTGCGGCTTTCGAGGAGGAACTGAAGAGCAAGATCACTGCCAGCTATTCAGGTCCAGCGGCTTGCCAGTCTCCCTGCGGGGGTCACTTTAGGATAGTAACGCGGAACGGTATTACTTTCTGGTCCTTTCCAGAGTATCAGAGGATTTGCAGGGACTCAGGGGTTGGCTCCGTCCCTCTCCCCGCCCCGGATACCCCCATTGCCCAAACAAATCCCCCGTTAATGCACTCACGCCCCTATCTCCTGCCATGTCTCCCCAGCTGCGCTCAAGGTCTCGCGTAGCTGCCGTGGACAGAAGAGTGGGACAAGTGAGCCGCCTTTGAGCTCCGCCAACGCCCGCTCCCATCGTGTAACTCCTCCTGCGCATGCTCCCACAAACAGGCTGGCGCCGCCGCCTTCTCCGCTCCCATTCAGAGTCCTGCCAGACTCCTGGCAGAAACACTCGCTCCCATTTATTGTGCGCCTGCCACGTGCCCAGCACTCTGCTGACAGCGTGGCACTGAATCTTTGCAACACGCCTATGAGGTAGGTAACCCTCGTTACCCCAGTCTTAAAGGGGGAGAAACTTAGGCTCTGAGAGGTTTGACTTGAGCTGGGTGACTTGCCCAACGTCACCTGGTTGTGAGTAGCTGGAATGTGAACCCAGGCAGTCTGCTCTTAACCGTACCACGCCAATAAATAGAAATGATGATGACGCCACCTCTCGCAATGAATTCCCTCACAACGCAGTCACTAACTCTAAGGCTAAAACTTTCAAGTAAGCATTATTAATACCACATCAAAGATGAGGGAAGTAGCCCCGGAGCGATTAGGCAACTTGCTTAAGGTTACACAGTGAGTAGGATTACAGCCAAGCAGCTGGGTCTGCGGACTCAAAGCCTTTTCCGTGGTGCTTTCCCTTGAAAGTAGCTGGTGTGACAACGTAACTGGCTGTACAGACAGACCTCTGGGCAGCAGCCAGCCCTCTGCCCCCCACACTCCCGGCCCCACCCAGGCAGGGAGGGAGGCCCCCCCAAGGGCTGAAACCAGCGACTGCAACATGATGGTGCTATCCCCTATGATGTAAGCTCCACAGGGCAGGCAAGTTAGTCTCCTTCCTCGCTGGGACAGGGTCTGGCATATAGTAAACATTCAATGAAAATCTTTAACGTTTTTTTAAATGGAGGCAAACTTTACATACTGTGAAATGCATAGATTGTATGTGTACAGTTAGATGAATTCTGACAAATGTAAACACCCACATAATGTTTCCTTTACTCAGAAGGTTTCCTTGTGCCCCTTCCAGTCAATCCCCACCTTGAAGAGGCAACCAGGATCATGACCTCTATCATCATGGATCTGTTTTGCCTGTTCCTGAATTTCATATAAATGAGATTATTTAGTGCCTACTTTTCTGGCTCCTGGCTTCTTTTGCTCAGATACTCAATATGTATTTTTGGGGCAAAAGTATGAAAGGGCAGAGCAACAGCAGTTGTAATCAGGCGAGGAGTGTCATGGGGTAAACAGGTGATGGGGACCCAGAGGCAGGTATTGCTCTGAGCCAGGAACCAGCCACCGGACCCTGTCCTGGGAGGGAGACTGACAAGATGAAGACGAGACTCCAGGTTAGGTAGGGGCCTCAGGCAGAGAATAGGTGGAGCCCAGGCTCCAGATGAAAGGTGTAGAAGGAATCTGAGCCCCAGCCAGAGGGGTTCCAAGCTCCTATGTAGGACCCAATCCAGCTCTCTCCCTTCTACTCATTTGGGAGAACATCTTGGTAGAGGTGATACCTCAGAGACTAGAAAGCTCAGGAAAACCCAGCCAGGCAGATGGAAAGACTATCACAAGCAGTTTCCCCAAGGGAACATTCACTGCGGAGGAGGAAGCCCAGCCAGCCCCCTCCACACATGCTCAAAGCTGGCACTCCATCATCAGGCAGCCCTCTGGGGCTCTGCCAGCAGGGGCAGGGGCCACATGAGTGCCTGCAACTCATACACCAGCCTAGCAGAGCTTACTGGACCCAAGGACACGGGTGACTAGCCCTCTTTTTTCTGAGGTGTTTTTTCTTGCTCTCTGTAGATCATGTACCTTCACCTCCCACCAGGCCCTGCTCAGTGGGTAAAGGTAAAATGTGCTGGCGTTCCAGGCCCACGCAGGCTGGCAGTGGGCAATGATGTTGATGAATCACACTGGCACTGCGGGTGCCCAGTCCTTGTTGAGGCATCAGTAATGAATTAGCTTCACCCCCAGCACGGAGCCTCTCAGCCTTTCTCCAATCTCCAGGAAGGCAGGAAACTGAGACCTGGGAAGGGGGAGCAGGGGAGGAGAGGGGGCTCCAGCAGCTCCAGGAATGGGCCCAGACTCCAGCCATTCCCTCTGCCCATACACACAGGAAAAATGCCCAAAGCGCAGGTCTCTCAGGCCCTGAGATCCCGCCTCTTCGTCCCTAACCATGAGCTATAACTGTCCAGCCCACCTCCAAATCTGTATTTTTTAAAGAAATTTTTGAAATTCAGAAAAGTACAAACTCTCTGTGATAAACACCCCTGAGCCCAGAATTCAGCATTGACAATTGTTCACATCTTGTCATACTTGTTTTCTATCCATGTTCTTTTAAAGAAAAGGAAGAAACCCACCAAGGCCCCCTCTTGTTCCCGTGCCCTCTTCGGGGTGGGACCACTGTGGCTGCTGGCCTTGAATAAGATCATGGAATGTTTGCATCATAGTTC